AAAATGACGTCATCAAGTAATAGTAGCCAATAGTCTATTTCTTCGCATCTGATCTAAGATAGTGAATCATTAAAATAATTAATCGTTCAATGAAAAAAATTGTTAGACAACTGGTTGTTACATTTTCAGAGAGATTTCCTAGTGATGAATTTCAAAATGGTCGATTTAAGAATAGTGAATGCGAAATTTTTATTCAAAATTCGTATACGGAAATTAAAAAAAAATAAACGTTTGTAATGAATCTTAAAGTGAATCATTTATTTTTAAATCTTATTCTCGCTACTTTCGAAAATTCGGCTCGTGTGCTTCGCACCGCATTTCGTAGTCGAGTGAAACTCGAATACCATCTAGTTTATAGTTGTATTGATATAATTAATCAGGTATCTGTTTCTTCTTTCTCTTATTTACTGTGATATTCTACTCTGAGTTTTTCAGTAAATTTCTTACAGTTATATTATTTGCGGTAAATAAGGGTTATGTTGAAAAGAACAGCGATATCTAAAAAATTATCTTTCAGTAAAAGAATTAAACACGCCGCGACCTAATATGAATGAAGAATTAATTGATACTGACTCATTCATGGTCAAGACTAGAAAAAAAAATTTTTCTTCATGTTTATTGCAGAGAAAATTCCATAAAATTATTCACTGATCAATAAAACAGACTACTCTAAGGTATTGACTAATATTATAAAATGTTCCTTGCTCTAAAATAAAGAATATATTTACTATGCAATAGCATAACTTGCGTAAAAAGCTTCTGTGCTTCTTCATGCATAAACTCATAGGATGAAAACTTTATTAAATATATGTTAGCATCATTTTTTTTCACTGTAATTCAATATAAAACATTCTTTTATAAGCATCTTGTATTAATCTAAGTCTTATAAAAATAAATTCTTATCGGAATTTTCTACTATGCTCACAAGTATCGTATATAGGTCTATCAATGAATTTTAAGGAATAATGCAAATTCATCCTTAGACTAACTTAGTTAGGTCTTTTTTTCTTTAACTGTCGTAAACGAAAATTTAAATAAAATATTATTCCTTTTATCATCAGTATCATTGCCAGCTAGGGACATCTACTAGGAGTATAAGCATATTAAACCGATGTTTATGTTCTTCATATATTATACCCTTACTTAAATAATAATTGTTGCGTTTGTAATAGTCAATGCTAACATATTCAGACGGAAAGCATTTCTTTAACTATAGTCATGGATGATTGATTGGTTACCCTTCATGTTCTAGTATATGCAAATCATGATCAATACAGAGAATAAGAACGATTCGCAAGTAAAAACGAAAAATGGATACCATATTGTAGTAGTGAATCATCCTGCCAATAGAATTAAACAGTACGAAAATGAAAGAGTCGATGGTGTCGACGAAACAAGTAATCAATAAAAAAAAGCGAACGAAAGAAAGACTGAAAGCAAGAAAGAAAGAGAAAAAAAGAAACATTTAAACTTCTACTCGAATGTCCATTCGTTCTCCTTGTCAACATAAGCACATGATTTGTAGACTCCTTGCGATTTATTTCATATAATCTGACCAACCTGTTTCTAGATGATCCTCGATCATAATGTCAACAGAAAATCAAGAAATAGTAAATAAATTTTCTACTTTTAATTTAAATCTATTTTATTTTGCTAAATAGAATAATTCAAATTCGTCATCGTTAACAAATGATGATTCAACTGGGAAAATGAAAGGATGGTTTAAATTAATCGAAACAATTCGTAAATCAGGTTCAGAATCAAATGAATCAATACGATCACTTCCGAACAGTAATTTAAATAATAATTTTATTACAAATACGCAAAGAAATTCATTTGAACATCCTTTACAATCAACAAATATCAATGGACATTCATTAGAATCATCTGAATTAATAACTACAATCCATGCATTGGATTCACCACCAAATATATTTAATTCGCCATCAATCATTAGTATATCATCAACACCACGACAAAATATAGAAGATATACCGTCAGTAGAAATGGAATCAACTTCGCAATTACGACGAGAAAGTGCACCTTTCATTGAAATCGAGTCATCAGTAACAACTGCAGGATCATCGCCAGCATCATCAGGTTCATGAAGAATTTTAAAATTAATTTTTACTAGAGCAAATGATCAGTTGAGTTTTCAGAGATTGCTATTCAATGAAAATACTATTCAGAAAAAAATGTTGTCTAGATAGATATTTCACAATTTGCATTTTTTTCCATAGGGAAATTTCGATCGGAAAAGGTTTTGCTACAAAACTAGAAGCACTAAATAAATAAGAAATTTCAAACAAAAATATATTTTATTTAGATTCAAAATCTTCTCCAAAACCAATGAAAAGATCAACTGCACGTAAGTCAACGAGATCGAGACAACCAATGCCCATTGCAAAACCTGCTGTTATATCTACACCCATCACTGAAGATATATCTGATGATGATGATGTGCCAATTATTGACATTCGTGCACCTAAGAAAACATCCATTGATACATTATCGATTCCATTGAGAAAAGATTCTATTATTCCGTTAGCTACTGATCTTCGATCATTGCCTGGTCATAGTCAAGATGAAATTCGCGATATTCGTTTTTTAGCTTATTCTGATATTGATACATTATCGATGCATTTTCAAACATGTTTATATGTTGATCAAAGATCAGTAGGGTCATCGAAACAATATATATATAAAACACGGTGTAATGTGTTAAATAAAATTTTAAAATTATATTACATAAAAACTTTTCGAAAAAAATTATCATCAGAAAAATCCTCAAATAAAAATAATAACCACAAACAACAGCCATTATCTGTGATAAGTTCACCAACATCGATATCATTTAAATTAGATTGGAATGTCAATAGAAGAAATTCATTATCAACACATCGACATACACCAAAGAATTTTTTTCATATTTTACAAGTCAATCCCAAAAAAAAATTTTCATTATTGGATGCACCATCGATATCAACATCGAAATCTCCGATTCAAACATTTGAACGCATGAAAGATATTCTTGCACGTACATATTATCCGCATTTTTATAAAGCTATCGAATATGGATATCAATTTGGTTCAAAGTCAAAATTTCCGAATACTCAACAATTAATAACTACACATGGTGATATTATAAATATTAAAGAAATGCCGGAATCACCAGATTTAATTGATGATTCAATAACAATTACACTTAAATCTCCACCGTCTACAACAAGACGTGATTCAAGCATAACAATGCAACAATCAGTGGCATTTACTAAAGAGCAAAAAACCAAAAGAACAGAAAATGATAATAAATCACTCTGTCTAAAACAGAATCAAAGTCAATTATATGAAAATTTTGATGAACTATCATCATGGTCAATTAGAAAATCAGTTGTCGTTTTAACACCAGCTAAAGTTCCATTACAATCACAACCAGTAACTGATAGAGAAAAGATTTCGACTGTAAATCGAAAACGAAAATCATCAACAACAACAACAAATTCAAATGTTATTGACAGAAAAAAGAAACGAATTATATCGCCACCATCACAAGAGATAATCAATCAAATTGAAGATATTTCAGATTCAGATAGGTATGGGTTTTTAAAAAGCTTTTGTTTCTTACAGCGACTTATTGAATAAATCAAGTAGCAGAGCTGCGTACATCCTTGACATTTTTTTTAATATAGTATTTGAATGACCACTAGAAATTATTATATTAGAAAAATCAATTGAGCCATATGTGCATCAAGTGTACTATTTATTGAAGTAGATAACAGGATATAGATACTGAAGAGTGCATCTTCTGGATGAATAAGATCTAAGATTTGATTCGTAAGCAATTCTAACCCATTTTTTAAGAAGTAACATCAATATTCGCGAAAGGCGAAAGAAATATAGAAATTGACGATGTCTAGACGATGCAAATATTGGGAAATTAATTTTTTAACAATCTCAAATTTATCGTGTGCTAACGTGAATATAGTTTTTTTTTGAAATCATGTTTGTTTAATATAATAATTACCGTCTATGTTTATCAATTGAATATTTTATTTGTTACTATAGTAAACAGAAAGTAAAATCCTATGAATAAGCCGTACGAATTTTCGCAAGCTTGAGTAACAAAAAAGAAACAAGCTTAATTTTAATGTATCTATTGAAAGATTATAATAAGTAAATATTTCGACATAAGTAGATATTAGGGGTGTCAATTTACAGTTTATTTAATTTAAATTTAAATTTTATAAATTGTTTGCATGGGTACACATCATTGCTATGAGGAAAATACGTGACTTTAACAGTAGGAAATATTAAATGAGAGAAGAACCCAGCATTTTAGGTTAATTTTTGTGCATAATAGTCAAAATTTCTCTACAGATTATGCAGGATCCGTCATCTTTCTTCTTCAAAATACCGGGATACTCTTAAAAATACATTTAATAGTACAATTCGTAGAATAATGACTAGCTTTAACTTTAGAAAACAGGAAACATACTCAAATTTGACTTTAAATAATAGCAATCAAGTCAAAAACTATGTTTATCTACTAGTCTTGAAAATTTAACTAATTTGAATTTCGAACAATTAAATTTAAATTTAGTTAAATTTAAATGTGACACCTCTCGTAGATATCATTCTAAAAGAGTACTTAATAAAAATGGGTGTTGTCTTTTATAATGAATTATATTTATGAATGGTATTTTGTAGTGGCACAGATCTTTTACCTACACAATTACCAAAGCCATGCTTTATTAAAAATGGTCTTTGTTCAAATTTCTATAAAACAACAACGAATAATAATTCTAAGACATCTAGGTTCATATTTCATGTTTTTAGTAAATTGAAGTTTAAAATGAATTCTTTATATTTCTTAGTAATAAAGACCGACTAGAAAGGCGACGACGGCAATCATCAGGTTCATTACCACCTTTTTATACTGGAATCTTTGAATCTGATAATGAAAAATCATCATTTGTTGATTATCATCTACCATACGATATTTATTGGTTTGCTCAACAACAAAATAAAGAAAAAACATTAGAAGTTTCATCTGCAGCACCTACATCTTCCATATCAATGTTTCAACATAAAAAGAAAAAATCAGATAAACCAAAACCAAAACGACAATCACCGTATAAAAAAATCTTGCGCAATGTATATACAGATCAAATACGACAAAACCTTTTATCATCATATAGTACAGCGAAAGCACCAGTTTGCGATTGTAGACCATCTGGGACATGTGAAGATGGTGTATGTGTTAACAGAATGATATTTACTGAATGCCTTCCGGATTGTGTTTGTGGTATGTTCTTGAGTTGATTATCTTTGTTAATTATCAAGCTATTTTGTTTGAAAAATAAGCCTTTTGAAATGAGATAAAAGGAGAGCGCAGTATAGTCATTAATACGATTGCATCTAGTAATAATTTACACATAGAAAGTTGAATTCTGAGTATATGGATAAACGTTTTCAAACGAATTAAGAAATATATTCAAGTCATCAAGTTGATTTTAAAGAGTTAAAAATAATCTAAACATTTCCAGAAGTAATTTTGGTCTTAATAAGACTAATGAAGAAAACAAAACTGTTTTAATATCTATCCTGCAATAGGATCAGCATAGACAATGAATAGATTTATTAACGTCCTCAATTTCAATATTGTCACAAAAAAATGAAAAATTTCTTCTTCTTAGGTGTTAAATGTAGCAATCAGAAAATTCGTAAAAATCAATGGTGTAAACATGTTGACGTATTTGATACAGGCAAATATGGTCAAGGCTTACGTGCAATGGGTCCAATAGCCAAAGGTACATTTTTATGTGAATATGTTGGTGAAATCATTACAGAAGAAAGATTTCATGAACGTATGGCAAATCTCTATTCAAAAGATGAACATCATTATACAATGAAATTAACTCAAAATCTAGTTATTGATGCTTATCGTATGGGTGGCATAGCACGTTTTGCTAATCATTCATGTTCACCGAATTGTGAATTTCAAAAATGGACTGTTGATGGTTTACAACGTATGTGTATGTTTTCATTACGTCCGATAAAAGCTGGTGAAGAATTAACATATGATTATAATTTTGAATGTTTTAATTTGCAAGCTCAACAACCATGTTATTGTGAAAGTCAAAAATGTCGAGGTACTATCGGTACAAAACAGTCAGTTACATCAACAACAACAAATAATATATCAACAATAACACAAAAATTAACACAACGCGAAAAAAAAATGATTTCACAATCAGCTATTTTTCTACTACGAAATCTTAGAAAAGTGAAAGCGAAACATGCTTCTAGAAAAAAAATCTGTACTAAACTAAAACAACTAAATAACAAACAAACCACCGTGCCACTTTTTTTTCCACAAAATTATTATCATTCAAATACACCGAACAATCAATCAACATTAGCTGGTCTAAGAAAAACTCCTAAACTAGTTCACAAAGGTAAAACTATTGATTAGTCAAATGATGTTTTTTTTTTGTTGTTGTAAAGTTCTAAAGCAAATCATGCTTGAACCAATGTTTTCTAATTTGCAAACATATATTTTTCAGAACACAGCTAAAATTCATTTCTGTAATTAATTAAATTCTCTTGTTGAAGTTTTATCGTAGGGAAACAGAACAGTATTATGCAATCAGAGAAAGCACCATCGGTTTCTGCAAATTCATATATCCAAATACAAATCATATCAGAGGAAATTTTCTATTCATATGAAAATAAAATCTTTTATCTTCTTTAGATTTATTCTACCTATTTTACAATCACATTCGTCGTTCACATTTCATAAAAACTCGTCGACATTATACTGAGCTTATCGATCAAACATGTTATTATGCTCAACTAGCACAATTAACTCTTATTCTTAATGAAATATTTGAATTAATATCAAATCATAAATGTACAAATATAGATATGACACCTTCGATTGTATTAAAAAAATGTCCATCCAAACGTTTATTTCCAGCATATTATGAAATAATAACAAAACCAATTGATTTAACAATGATAAGAAATAAATTAGACAATGGAGAATATTCATCATTTCATTCTTTTGAACAAGATTTATTATTATTATTCAAAAATGCTATGGTACGTAAAATCATATTAAATGACTATTTAAAAATTAGTTTTTTTTGTTTTGCAGACATATTGTGGCAAAAATTCAGATGAAGCACAAGCTATATTAGAATTACAAAGTTATTTTGTGAATACATTAAAATTTGAATATGTAGATATATTAAATTTATTTGTAAATATGAAAGAAAAAGATCGACACTTAGCAAGTTTAAGCACACTTGAAAAGTTCATAAGTAGTTTTCATGAAAGAGAAGTTATTCATGGACAAATAAGAGAAATTCTTTATGATGTTATCTTTAATATTGATGATAATTCAAATAATGAATCACCAATTGTTTATAAAATAGTACTTGCTGGTAATGTTAATTCACATCGAACACTAAGATCAAGAACATCGCCGGACTTTGTTGTACATTGCCGATGTGGATCAGTTTATGATGAGAGTTCACTCGTGCAATGTTATGCTTGTCAAGTAAGATGAAAAACAAGATAGGATAAGACTACTTGCTGACCTTCTCAGTTTTTATTTTCGTTGACATCAAGTCAGAGACAACTGTAGTTTATCTATCGAAAGTTTATTTTCTATCGATTCTTTAACTCAGTTATGGTAATGAGTATTGGAAATTTTTCGATTAAGAAGATTGAAAAATAAACTATTGGAATGTCATTAAGTATCTTCTATGACTTCATTCCAATAAAAAAACTAAAATATTTCAGGAGTATAAAAACTATTATTTTGTGTAGTAGAGAAATGCAAATTCTGGAGTAAAAGTAAATTTCTATGTGACTAAGAAAATAGAAGTCCAACATTGAACGTTATGATTTACAATTTATATGATTTTAAAGTAGGCGAAGAGCAAAAAACATTGTTATTGTTTTCAACATACTTGAATAATACTAATTTAAAATAGCAAAATCTTAAGATGTCTTCCGAGTTCTATTATAAGAATTCCATCTTGTTAGACTGAATGTAATACTTTCCCATGGAAGAAGATTAAAATATAGCACCTATTCATGTTTCAGTATTAATAAGGATTTTAAACTAAATAGATAATAATTGTATGTGTATTTTAGTTATGGCAACATGTCGCCTGTGTTTCAATAGTCGATTCAAGTCGGCCATATTATTGTTTTGAATGCCAACCCGCATGTGAACACAATCCGTCAGCGTGCTTAAAAACAAATGTTATGATAGCTGCTACTTTATCACCGTTACAAACCTATGATGACAATCATAGTTCGTTTTCAGCATTGACACGTTCGGATGGCTTTATTATACGTATAAATGAATGTTATTTTGTACCGAAACAAGATGAAAACAATATTGATAGATCATTAGCATCACCTGAATACGATATTTTATTTATTGAGCGTCTTTGGATTGATGACTATGGTATTGGCCAAGCATCTGGCTTCTATTATATACGTCCGAATGAAACATTTCATGAACCAAATAGGAAATTTTTTCCCTATGAAGTATTTCGTTTTCCCTCTTCAAATGATCCTTTACCAATCAGTTCCGTTGTTCGCCCTTGTTTTGTATTGGATATAGGAACCTATTGTAAAGGCAAACCAATAAGTGATAATAGTAGCCGAGTACTACCAAGTGATTTATTTATCTGTGAATACCGTGTTGATAAATTAGCAAGAACATTTACACGTTTACTGAAATCAAGGCATTTTGGAATCAATACGAAATCTTACTGTTTTGATAATTACGTTGAAAAACTTTCAATAAAACGAGAATATCAGGTTTGTATTAATAATTCAATTTTTTCTATTGATAAAATCTAATATGAAGAATTTGAACATGAAATGATTAAATTCATTTCTAAGAGAAATAGTAAGAGTGTATAAATTTCAAATTTATTGTCCATTCTTTCGTTTGATACGTTACGAAATTTTAAACTCAAGATTTCTTCTAGTAGATTAAATTACAATACATCGTCTCCATCCTATTTTGAATCTGTGCATTTTAATTAAATCGCTTATAATCTTATTTAAATGTATTCTAAGCTTCATCCGACACGATATTAACTCTTCTTTTTATTACTCAATCAATCCTCTTTGTTTCTAATGTAAAATTTAATTGTATATTAAATAAAATAGTAGTACTATAGATAAATTTGTTTTATCCGCAATATCCGTGTTCGTATGAAAGCCGCTGAGGTTTTATCTAGTAAGCTCTATTAACGATGAAATTGTGTCTCATCGTTTAAGCCTCCATGAGTTTCACTCATGCGCATGTGCTGTAGGTTTTATCTATGAGCAATTTTACTATAGACTGAAAAACATGACAAAGTCTCATTATTTGATTTTCTGGTGTTCATCAAAAATTGAAAATTCACTTGAGCGACTATCACTGAGCTCTAGAAACTAATGGATAGCATTTCTTTTAGAATTTGCCTAGCCTTCGTGCGACTCGTCGTGTTAGTCGAGTATAAGTGCAAACGATTGATAACTCTTTGGAAGAATCTTTTGTAATTATGTATTTATTTAATAACTAGTATAACGTTTGATTCGTTAATTATATTATATTACATTTCATTTCTATTCTATAGCCATATCAAAAAGACCTTCAACAACAACAACAACAACAACAACATCATCATCACTCTTATGATAATCGTCGACGTTCAACAGCAAATGCAAACAAACTCATTAGTCTACAATTGGAAGAAAAATCTACACGTATCAATGGTATTGTTGAAAAAATCTATTGTCGTTATCATGATCAAAATTTAAGACCAATTGAAACAAAATATACTGTTGATCAACTTGTTCAAGGCTCATCGATGCCCCCAAACTTAAATCATCTAGATCATCATAATAACAATACACGACTGGAAAAACACCTATTATCAATATCATCATCATCGATTTCGCCACCACTACATGCTCTAGCTGGAACAATCAGTGAGAAACGTCGTACTATATCTCTATCATCTGATGATGATATTGTTGAGCTTGTGCCTGACAGCGATTGTCAGAGAATATCAAAGAAACGTTTGCTGAAACAGCCAAGAGTTAATGCACATATAAGTGATGAGACCATTGATCAAGTCTAAGCATTAGTCACGATCAAAAACTAAACCGAGCAACGTAAAGCAAGCTGCCGAACATTTTCATTGTTTTTCATAATTTTTCGTATTGTTCAATTCTGTGAGTATGTATGCTTCAATGTACACGTATGTTTTTTTTACTCATTATGTCGATCTTTTTTTCCAAATTTTTTCTTTGCAAAAAAACAATTTTTAATAATATTATCTTTGTGTGAACTGATTGAAAGAAAACTTTTAGATTACGTCTAACGATAAGAAATTTTTATAAATTGCATGCACGATCCAACCAATAGACATAAGAATTCATTGACATCATCAACGATGCTATCGAGTCCAAATCGCCTATTGAATATGCACGCACCAAAGTTGAGCCGGCCATCACAGCCTCAACAACAGCAGCAAAATCTTGCAAAAAAATTAAAAGTTAATCATGTCAATGGTATACGACCAACCTCTCAAGAAGGAAATACAGCTGTTCGAAGTAAGTAATCTGTTGTGGTTTTTTTATATTTATTTTTTATTTCAACGTATAATTCAAAATGAATTTCAGCTTCAAAAAGTGATACATCTTTAAGATGTCCATTAAGACAAACATTACCGATATTTAAACAACCAGTTACTTATTATCCTACACAACGTGATGAAGTTAAACCTCAAATTAATAATGCAGCAACATCAAATGCCAATAGTGGTGGTAAGCCAAGTGAAAAAACAAAACCAAGACAACTCTTTTGGGAGAAACGATTTCAAAACATACGACCAACAGGCATCGATGGACAACCTTTCGAACATTTTAAATTACCCGAACAAATCAAAGGTATATTAAATCATCTTGAACTTCATTAATAATGCTTTTAAAAAGGGCTTTTCGAGCTGCACAAGACGATTTACTTGATTGCACCAAGCAGTTTTTCTTAAGATGAAAGTAACCACTTCACTAGCTGACATTTTATATCCTTCCTACAGAACTAAAAAGAAAATTTTACATCCGATTTCGAATCTCATCAGTTTCTCATAATTTTAAATGGCAGCATGCCGTAAAACGGGCCGTCAGCCACATAGTTACCTCGAAACTAAAATACTGAATATTACTTTGCTTTCTGCTTAACTATTTTGCAATGCGTTCAGCCGCAAAAAATATGTCATTTTTTAAGTTAAAATCTCCGTATGAACCTTGAATATTTGAAAGTCACTTAGTCGGATAAGTAAATTTCTATCTTTTCCAACATGAAACATATCTTACATTTCGATTCATCATGGCTTCGTCTGTTCACTGATATTATAAGAAAATAAAACAAAAAGTAGTAACTTGCATAATCTCTTCAAAAAATTAATAAAGTACTTGAAACAGTGATGCAATAGCACATATCAATAGCATGAGACACCTTTGTCAATTAATCGATTTTCGATGAAAAATGCTTCTTTTTCAAATCAATCTCATATTGATATTTTGCTGTGTAACTATGTATACTCTCTAGTTGTCTTTCAAATGCATAAAGAAACATTATAAGTACCATGATGACTTTTTGTGAGTTTAATCTATCATAGAACATTATACAGCACACTTCCTGTTAAGATCGTTAGTCTTCAGTTGGCTTCATATTTCTCTTTTGAGCCCTTAGAGAAAGAGAGAGAGAGAGAGAGAAAGCACCATACGTTACACTAACATAGTTTTAAGTTGTCCGTCTATTTTCTTTATTAAAAAAAAACAACCAGAGAAGATCGACAAATAGTTTGCATACTTATGTAATCAAATGATATTTACTCAAATGAAGTGTGCCAAGGAAAACAATTTCTACTGAGCAAACAATTCATTCTTTTGTATAGTATTGATACATCTAACACCGAAGTTTTACTGATTTTTGTCATCTTTTCCAAATTTGATTGCAATTTCAGAATAAAATGATTGAAATTCATGCGATGATATATGATCAATATTGGTTGTCTAAGAAGATAAAATTGAAATTTTTTAGGATAATGATGAATTTATAGTCATCACGAAACACAATTTTCTTTTCTGAAAATTTGAATAATTCATATTTTCCCATTCTTTTGATCTAAAAATAGCTGCTCTTTGAATAAGTAAAAACACTTAAAGTAATGATTTAATTTTGCAAATTAGGTGTCGATCTAAATATGTCACCGGAAACGATTGTGATCAGTCTTGCAACATCACTTCATCTATATAGTAATTCACGCGCATTATTTGGCCAAAACAAACAATTTCAAAAAAATCCTACTACACACGTTCAACGTGATCAGCCGTTAATTGAGGTATATCTTTTTTTTTCTTATTATTTTCTGTATCAATTTTCATGTTTTCAGCATGTTACAATAACTGAGGAACATATTCGTGCTCAAGAAGCAAAAGTCAATGAACTTCGTCGACGTATTCAACAAACAATGCGTAGCAATAATAATAATAGTAGCACAAATATGAAAATGGAAACCTAAGAAATAAAAGAAAAAACACAAAATGTCTATGAATTATAGACTGATTAAACCCCAGTGATGTGATGAAGAACCCCTAAAAGTCTGTTTCATTCATGTTAATGTGTAGCACATTGTTCGATTTTTCTTTCTTTTTCATTTTTACTCTGTATAGCTATCTACTGTGTTCTTGTTATCGTATAATTTCTTGTTGCGCTAGTGAAAAACTTTTTGAATCAATATACACAACTGAAATGAATGAATTATATAAATTGAATTGAATCAACGATAATTATATCTTATATGAATATTATTATTGCTAATCGTATTGGTTTTTATCGATAGAAGTCTCATTGATAATATGAAGCATGTCCATACTATTTCTTTTGTTTTCAGAAAACAATACGCCGACAGAAATTCTCGATGGACAATAAATAAATACCTAACATGAATGAAACCATTACTTTGCAGTTCATTGTATGTATTTGAATAACATATTGACTGAAAGCTTTCATTGCCATCTATCGATATGGAGTAATATATATATATATATAGATAGATAGATAGATAGATAGATAGATATGTTGTTTAATAGAATAAAATAATCAATGGAAAAAAACAAGAAAGCATATAGAGTTGTGACTTGCAATTTTGGTGTCCTTTTTTCTCTCGCGCTCCTATTATCAAGTGTTTCCGATATGTTCATCTATGCTTATCTGACTCGATTCTTATTATAGACGAGTAGGCAATCGCTCGCTAACACACAGAATAAAACGTGCTCCAATATTTGTCTGATATACTGAATTGACAACCACTTATATATATATATATAGAACACATAAATTTCGACGACACAAGGTCAGCTATTATAACGCTTCAAAAATAAAGCAGAGCCTGTGAAAGCATTCAAGTAATTACTTATTATCAATGAGAAATGGTCTATTCAAATATAATTGATTATCAAAAAGAAAAAAATAATGAAATTGACGTGCTTAACTCATGTTTTTCTTGTGAACTAGATTTGCACCACGTATGTTCACAGACGACAATTATACTAGGCATGCATGTATCCAATATATCGATCCCTGTGCAACAATAAATAATCAATCTTATCATTTTTATTCTTTTCTTTTTTTCTCGTTTTCATCACATTCAAGCAAAAAATTTTTATTTATTGTTGATCGCGATTCCATGTGTCTCTTAGTGTGAGGTACGGTAGTGGTTTGTTCTTGTGTTAGAATAGACTTTCGTCGAGATGATCGTCTGCATAAAAATAAATTATAGAAATCTTTACGAAAATCAGTGGAACAAAAAAAATAAATAAAAAATCGAATAGCATGTGTAGTCGTTGATAAATTAGTAAATAACAATGAGATAGTACGCCTTAATGCTGGTGGTTCAATATATGGACGAAAAAATGAAAAAATAACTGTCGACGGAAACGTCAATGCAAAATAAGATATTGTTATAAATATCAACGACATAGTTAATTTTCTACTATGCCGATATAATAATCTTGCTGGATTATTTCTATTCGACCGTTTGAATGTTGCGCGTGACGGTGATATCTGTCGTGGGGCAAGAAAATGTTTTTGTCTAATCATTGGTAATGCTGTTGTTGCTGTGGCCGCAAATAAAACTATACGTCTATGCTTATCTAAACGTTTCTTACTTGCAAATATAATACGCATTAAAAGTGCATTAAATATAAATAAGATAATGCTCGGTATAACTGAATAAAGAAATAAATGTAAGCGTTGATGCCATAGCATGTAGTTTGGAAACCGTAGATTTTTATAACATACAGTATCGCCTGCTGGCGAATAGTACCCGTTCATCCAAAGTATATGGATATTTAATAGAAAAAATAAACATGCTAGGAAAAGACATATGGCTATCGTATAACGTCGTTTACAAATGAATTCAAAATGCGATATCTTTTTTACTAATAAAAAACGATTAAACGAACCGAATGCCAACACCCATGACGATGTTTGTAAGGTAGAAAATGCTGAAATATATATAAACAATGAGATTTTTTTGTTCTTATTTAAAAATTTTCTTACCCAAATAGGACAAAAAACGACAGATGAATAGTGAATATTCCTCGAGGTTTCTTTTAATAATAGCAACATTAATATTTTCCTTTTCATAGAAATATGGACTGCCATTATTATTAATATTTTTACGGTTATTGAAATAGGTTATTTTAACATCAACGTTAAATTCTCGAAATACATAATTTAAATTGAATGTATAAAGAGCGATCGTATCGAGAAAAGCTAAAAATCCAAATACAAGTTTTATTGAATTTGAACGATTTGATTTTTTAAAGTAAATTATGCAACAAAGAAGATTACAAGGAGTACCAATTAAAATTAGTAAGAGCGAATAAATTGAAAGAAGACGATCGGTTATTTGAATGTTATGATTACGATTTGAGATGGAATATGAATTCGATGAGCCATTCATGATGAATTCTATTTAATTGTTCAAGAAAGTGAGGAAAGATCATCAGTGAGTCTTATTCACCATCGTCTATGTTCTTTCCTTTTTTTTTCTCTATATTTTTTTTTCTTCTTGCTTTTCTTCGCTTTCTTCGTTTGGTAGGATCATCAATTCTTTCTTATCTTCTTTCCTTACAATCGTAGCGTGTCTCTCCTTTGTTAAAAGAAACAAGAAGAGCAGGAAAAAGAAATTAAAGGTAGCTATAATTTACCGACGTGACAGCGATTATCAAAAGATAGATCTCTGCAAATTTATTTTGAATGAGCTCATCTTTATACTGTCGTGTTTGGTCTAACATTCAATTGAAAGAAATACGCAAATACGAGTGTTTATTTCGATCTGACAGCAGCCACTTGGACTTTAACAACGCATTTGTAACCAGTAATTTAAGCCATGTGTCAACGGTTTATGTGCATAGCAGTCGATTCATCATTGATTTGATACCAGACGTGATGCTGTGGGCCACCATCGGAAACTAATAACCGATTATAATGTGAGCACAGCTAGCGTTAGTGACGATGCCACTGAGTCATACATGTGTATTCAAATAAAACGAAGTCCCATGTATAAACAAAAATAATAAATCCATTTCATCACTAATAAATCACCGTCGTCATGTCATATTTATCGAATTAGTGCATCAATATTATCATTATCAAACAAATAAGAAAATAGTCTGTATTCTTTTTCTTCGGCTGAAAAAAAAACGAAGAATCGATAAGCAGAGGTGATGCTAGTTAAATTTGAATTGCTCTAAAATGACCGTAACGAATATTTGTATGCATTTATATATCTGTTTTTCTTAGTATTCTACACAACTGAAAAGCGTAATTCTTCCCATAAAAGTCATCTCATGAAATTTATCATCTTTTATATCACGCATCATAATGCCCTTATAATGACTAAGCAATAGGGTTTAGTTATAAAAGAAATTAATGTTTCTAATTTTATCATAAATTTGAGTTATATTTCAATAATCAATAGAGAAATATCGTGTTGAGAAAATATATAAGAAAAAAACAACAACATACGAGAATTGAATTCACAATGTTAAAAATTATTATTACCGTTTTTCTTTTCCCGTTAGAGTTTTTATTTTAAGCTGCTCAACAATGATGGATTAAGTATTTATATTGAAATATCATTTTCAAATGATGCATAAAGTCGTTTATACACGCAAGAATTTCATTATCTAATACTTTCATGTGCGAAATCAATTAATTTTTTTCTATAACTACATTTTTAGGTGAGCTGATGCCTGTTGATTCTATTCATATATTTATAAAAGCAACAATGAATAAAGAATTAAAAGGAAAAGAAAAGAAAAGTTCCGACAGTGAATATCAATGAATATTCTACTTTCTTTTACTTTAGTTTTGTATTACGCGTTCATGAATTTATGATCATACAAATAGAGACGACTATAGGAGAAAAAAAATCAACGGCTTGGCTATTATTATGATTCCTAAATAATGCAAAAAAAGAATGAACACAATGAATCAACTTCAGTCGTCAATCGCACAGGATATAGATGAATGAACTAACTATTTTTCGTTTCCGTTTCTCTGTTGATCAGTATCAAGTAGTATGTCAGTCTTTCTTTTTTTTATAAGTAATGCGTCTTGAAAATGAGAAGAGGGAGTAAACACCATTTTTTTGGAAATTGTTTTTTGTCTAGGAATACTTTCCTGTTTTTCTTCTCAGATTAACACGCATGCGAATTTTTGTTTGTGAAAAGAAAATAAAAATATACTTCTTGGCAAAAGAACCAGCATCACACATCTCATTTTCATAATGAAGTTAGCAATTATTCATAAAATGCCACTCATGAAAATACTATTGAGAATAGGCTTAGGTGCACAGATAATAATGTTATTCATATTTCATGATGTAGAAAAATAAAAGATAAACATACTAACTAGGACACCATTTAGATGCTAAATTGTTGAATGTGGTCCTCAATAGAACTCGTATTGTTATTTATATAGATATAAATAATAACGTTGACTTAGGTTAGAGAGAGAAAATAAGTCTAGAGGTTCGTATTATTATCCAGTACTGTTATCTTATATGTAGTCTCATTTATATTCTCCGAACTTTGTCTTGATAAACTTCAGATATGAAATCTGACGCCAAAAATAGAGGTGAAGTGCCATAAACAATTTCGTGACGGAAAATGAGATTAGTTCCTGTTGTTTCTTTCTTCATTTTATGTTACTTTAAACATGTGAATTGTCATTGAAAATTAATGTCGTATATTGTTTTCAGCCGTTGCGAGCCTGATTCTTTTGCTACTTTATTGATAAATGCAACCGCGTGTGCTCATGTCGAAATTAACGATTGAGAATCATTTATGAAATGTTTATGGCGGCAACCAAAGACATATTCAACATAATACTGATGAATAGCTACAAACTATTAATATTGTTTTTCTCTCCAAGTCTTTGTTGATATTCCTTTCGGTTGGAAAAAATAGATTATTTTCACGGTCATAAAGATAAATAGAATTATACTAACTAATAAAAATTCAACGTCATAGTATTTAAATAGATAAAGTGATTCAAAACTAATAGAATAATAGAATTAATGCCTACATTACGCACAGTTGGAGAAAAAGAATGTGTCATATGGCTGCTCCAAATAAAAATTGGATTAATGCCTTGAACGAAACGATGATAATAAAAATAAGATTAATAGTTCATGATTCTTTTTTTTTCTTTTGCCTACTCTCAGCCTATCTGATGGCAATCAATTAGCAAAGATTATTATAAATGCTTATGCCATCAAATCCTCTCTAATAAGATTTAACAAAGGCACTTTCTATTAAACGAAATCAAGTGTTTCGTTTGAGAAGTTTGCTTCTTTTGGAATGCTTCCATAGGTTTCTGCTAAGAAAAGTTTTGGAAAATAACATGAAATGAATCCATTGAAAAATTCATTTGATGTGAAGCATTATACAAATATGTTGTTTGTTATTGAGTAAGAATTTTAATTCAAATAAAATACTAAGCAAGGATTTCATCTGCTTTTGGATTACTCAGTTTTACTTGATGTCTATCGCTGATTTCGATTCAAAACAATCAATCGTTGTTGAACTAAATGGTCGAGGAAAAACGTTTATGTAGTGTTTTATGAAATATCTAGAGCAGTGTCAACAAGTATTTCTAAATTGCTAGAAGCTCATAAGATTTTTACAACATCTAGATGTAAAATTAAATATTAAGATCAGATTTTTCAACTCATGACTACGAAATTCGAGTTTGATTAAATCTATAGAGTAAAACCATTCTTGGGCTAAAAAAAGCTCAGACAAAACACCCAATTGGAAATACTTTCGACATTGAAAAACTCAAAATATTTTTTGTTTTTCTTAGTTTTGGTAAGTAGGTTTCAATAATTTCTAAAATTAAACAGCCAAAAAAGAAATCCATGGCCATATTTACTTTTCTTGCGAGTTGATATATTGAACTGTGCTAAAGTTAAATTTTCTATTCATTCTGAATGCTGACTAACTACATGATTATGTGGCGTTACGCCGAATTCGTATGATTTTAAAGGTTTCAATAGATTTTAAATCAAAATCTTTATATGGTTCGATGGATTCAATCATGAATACGGCCTAAGTTCTTATTATAGACATTGTATTAGTGAATTCAATTACCGAAAAACCGATTGGTGCCAATTTCTAGAAAATAAAACGTGCTTTTAAAGTTCTTAGCGCTTCAATTGTTTTCATTGGAATGCGTTCAATTTAAACATTCGCCACTGCTGAAATCCACTCAAAATTTAAATTCATTTTTCTACAGAATGATCAACACGATAGAATGACAAAAATATGCACTTTTGATCTTTCTTTGTTTTTCTCTTAATTAAATCAAAAATCTTATCGTTCATGTTCTGTTTAGTTACGTTGTGAAATAATTGAATATCCACAAAACTCTTACATGAGCTTGCGCTTACATACCGCATTTTTCTGAATGTTTTTTTTGCAGCTCAACAATGTTCGTTGCGGTTTAGAATGCCTGTTAAGTAAATGAAATTATATTGTAGACAAAGAACCGTAGTCAAGACACACTCAAGCAGAAGAACATTTTCACCACATACATTCTCAACATGTATATTCAATTTATACGTTTATGCATTCAATGTGAAAATTCTTATATACGAGGGTTACATATAAAATTTTAATTTTAATAATTAGAATCTAAATAATTGAAACCTTCATCTTCGATATGTATCCGTGTATGAATCAAATATAATATACATGGAATACTCAATATAGGCTGATATTTTATAAAAACAAAACGTTTTGTTCAAGCTATATAAACAGCAAAACAAAAAATTTATTAATAAATTATAATTTAGAGTTAGCAATTCTTGCTTGAAACAAAGGCGAAGCGAATGGAATATTTTACTATTAATTCAGTTTTGCTCATACAGTAGACGTTTTTATTAATATGCTAAATTACTCGTCTTGAGTTTTCAATACACTGAGCTAGTTTCTGAGAGCTTTGTAGAATGACAAAATACATATACAGTAAGTAATCTAAGGTGAAAGAGATACTCAATCGTAATATCTGCCAAGTTTTTCGTTTGAGAACAAAACATCTGCATATGATTATAAAATATGTTAGTGAGCTTTTTGTCCTACTAAATTTTATACAAGTATTTGTTGTCTTCGAAGATATTTGCATAAGTTTACGAAAATTTCACACATTCATATTGTTCTTTGTGAAACTACTTTGATTAAATCTTACATTGGCAATTTACATTAGATAAATAACGCAAAAGTTTATGTATCATAAGCATTATATATAATAATAATAATAATGGCTCCCATAGGCTTATCGCCCATTGGGGCCAGCGCTGGGATCCACGTGTGCTAGCTTCTTTCGCCTTTTTATTTTTACAGACGACGGTATCTGCACTCCTTTCCGTCCAACGCTTCTCCCATAAGAGTTGGCGATCATCATAAGTATCACGTGATTATGACATCTACGATGAAATTGTTTTTTGGCTCTGTATATTGACTAGCGATGCAAACGATACACTATCGGATGAGTCGTCCGAGACGTAGTCGTTAGTGATTTTGTCCAGGGTCGTTACATAACTGGTGATACTGAGGTTTGGCTTGAATACAGTATATTGTGAATATGTGTTGAACGACTTATCCACTCAGCCATGTCGGCTATAAACATTATATAAGTGCTATAATTGATGAAAATATTGAAAAAGACAGCTCACCGACATATTTTTGAAAGAATTTCGTTGGAATGTCGTAGTCAACATAGATCCGTGTTCAATCAGCTACGCTTAAGGGCCCCCCTCCCTCAGAATCGACTTGCCACTTTTGAGCATATGTTTGAGCTGAAACTTTCAGGGATACATGGTGGCAGTGAGAAACGCTTGTGGTAAAAGTTTCAGCCCTGTATACCTTACTAAACTAGACTTATGACTTGTTTTGTGGCTTCCACGAGACTTGTTATAACTTCATGACTATGAGAGCTATCGAGGCCGGGTCGGTTTTAAATTAAAGTTAGCCTCCATACGCAAGTTTTTATCAGATAGAATTTTGAAATTCGCTTCTACTCATTTTTTATAAGTATTTTACTCACTATGACTGCCAAAGTAGGGATAAAAAACGCACTAAATCGAACTTTTCTCAGTCCAGGAATCCAATATCGAAAATCCGCCTGATAAAAAGTTAGCTATAATTGAAACCTTTAAAGTAAAAAAAATATCAGGGAAAGCTAAAGGCAAACGAAAGTTATAACAATTTTTCTAGTTGAGACCCATGTTTTCAGGTCAACATTTAGGAATTTTTAGAAAGGTGTTTGGGAGTAAGGGAGATGAAAGAGTATTTCTTCAATAAGTCTGTCAAAACTTAACCTATTTTCAAAAAATTATATATATTCTGAAAGAGGAGATCACGGGAAATCTTTCTATGATAAAAACTCGATTTCGTTTTTTTTTTAAAAATCGGCTTTTCTGAAGGGGGGGAGGGGCTTAAGACAACAATATAATATTCTACTACCGTTATCCTTTCACGTAATCTATATGGTGATAGAAACATTTTGAATATTTTATATTTTATATTAACACGAAACGAGCAATGAAAGAAACTGCTGAGGCATTCACAAGAAAATAATGAGTATAAGATTGAAAATCAAGTAATGTTCTTCGTAGTAGTCTTATACTCATTATTTTCTTATCTACATTTTACTGCTCTTCTACCACAATTTATGGTGTCTTCATGTTTCGATTACCATGTGCATAATGTAGCACAACATTCTCTATCGACAATTTTATATACGACATGAGACTGTTGAAAACAAAGTTAACGCTATTGTATTTTTCTTTAGAATTGTGTTTTAAGCTAAACTACTCACTTGAGTATAGTGAAAAGTGAATTCTATTTGTTCGTTTAGTAAATCGTTCAGTAGATGTTTTTGTTTTTCTTTGCTCTCGTATTAACAGAAAACTTGCCAGAAACTGCACAACGGGTTCTGCTATGTTGATGCAAGAAAGAAATTTCGGTGCTCTTTTGTATGCAGAGAACAAGAAAAAAAGAATGAACTCGCGTGCATGCTATTTGATTCAAACTCTTATTTGCATACAACGATTTTTTCATTGGACATGTGCAGAACGAGAGAATCTAGAAAAGAATTTTTACTTTGAACTAGCCAAAGGAAATAGATACTAGTGAAAGTTGAACGTATGAAAGTGAAGGATAATTGAGATTATGAATACATTAGAATCAAGCAAATGAATTCTTTCTATCAAGTTAATGAAGATACGTCGTCGTGGCCGCTGGGGTTGTTCCATTTATGGTAGACGGCAGTGGTAAGCGTTTTATGAATTTTCATATGAGCGGTTTTTAATGGAATGTGGTTTAACAATTGTCATAAATTTTTTTTTCGAAGTCCTAGAAGTCCCGATTTTCAAATATTCTGTCTTTCATTAGGCCTCAATACTAGAAATAGCCATTAGAATAATATTCAAACTTTTTTAGGGTTCTGCATAATTAAGAATTTTATAGTAAAAGTAATTTATGAAGAACAGTTTTACAAGCAATATACTAAAAGTCTTATAAACAATTTTTGAATTCAATATTCCAAGTAGTTAATTAATATTCATATATTGTTAGTCTACCATTTCAAGTTTTTCGAACATGCTATTCACGTAAGAAATGCAACTGGAAAATTAATTTTGAAAAAAATTCGATACTTTGAGATTCTATGTTAAGAATGTGAAAGTTTGTCTGTAGTCTAAAATCTCGTGTAAAAATTAATATAAAGTAACAGAAAGAACGAAGGCAATCAGTTGTCTTTTAAGTTAAAATGGAATGAAGTAGCAGTAGACTGTAAGCAAAAATATGTGAAGTGAAAACTGAAAACAAAACAATACAGAGAAAAAGAACGAGCAAGAGAATGAGAATATGTTCACATTATCATCATTAGATTAATTAAGCTTCTTTATTCGTCTTTATTTAAACTAATATTCAAACCAATAAATATAATTGACGGCGGTCAAACTCATCCGACGGAGTTTCTCTTTCTACAGGTGTGCGATGTTTAGTTAATTCGGCAATGTTAGTTTCATATAATTATTAAGATTAAAACGAATAATGATTTTTCTAATAGTTGATATTTTAGATAGAATCAAATAATGTATTATATATATATCTTTAAGCTCTTGTAATAATTTTCACACTCTCATAGAGAGAACAAAATGTATCAACTAACTAGACGCGCCAAACATAACATAATTCAATTTCAAAACGCGACAAAGAAAAAGCGATGAAGACGAGAGAGAGAAAAAAGAACATATAGCGAGAAACTCGCGCGAAATCAGAAACAAGACACGCGACGACACACGGTGCCGTCACAAGGTGCGCTCTATTCTTGTAGTCATTTTAACGAATCACGTTTACAGGCTTGATTTTTGTTGTACTCATAATCATGCTAGTTAAAATTTTCTAGAATTGTAAAAATTTGTTTCTTAAAAAAGAACTCGTAGTTCTTGTCACTGTAGAAAATCAAAAAAAGATAATACTGAACTATGACATTACATAAAAGTTTTCCCCTGTCGATCCAAGATGGAAATGTCTGTCGTGGACGTTATTCTCTATCGAGTTTGTATGAACAGGACGAGTAGTTCGAATTCGAATGACTAGTAAATTTGATTTTGTTCTCTTCCAGAAGATAGTTATTTGCAATAATTTTCATACGTGGATTAGCATCTTCATCGAGAAACTCGATATCACATACTATTCATATTGACTATTTTCTGTGTAATTTTTTAGTAATACTTTTATATATAGATCACTTTTTGAAAAAGTATTTGACAAAACAATGCGTTTTGTAGAAATAACGATTGATTTAGAGAACTAGACTAAAAACTCTCTTGACCAAGAAATTCCAAGTAATTAGAAGTTTTTCAAAATCAAAACTTTTTCGTCAACTAAAAATGAATTTAACTTTTTCGATTTATAAGACACTTAACCAAGCTTTGCACAACTAATTATGTTTTCTATTTTACTTTAATGACTATTTTTGGTGTATAGACCTGATAAAAGATAGTACATGTGAAAATATTGATTTTAAAGACTTTCAATTAAAAAAAACTCGTCAAAATTGAAAGTAAAATTCTATTGAAAAGTGCCCACCGCAAAATAGATAAAACACTTTTCGCGATTGTCGATCCTGCATTGAACTGATCTGATACTCATGATTGATGAGTCAGCCCATAAGCCAGTAGCGGATCTACCAGTTAGGCTACCCGGCGATCGCTACCACCCTTAAGAAAGTTTTTTCGGTTTTCCTCAGCAGAAATGAAACAGAAAATAGTCGTTCTGCCTCAAATAGATTTGAAAAACCGTTTTTCTTTTGACCAGGAGCGCCACTCGCTAACATATTTTCTGGATCCACCACTACCGTAACCAAATAGACTGGGATCATCTTTATTTTTGATAGCACAATAAGAGACTAGCTAACACCTACTATTATGCACGACAAGAAATAGACAGATACTATCACGGTATTATCAATTGTGACTTCATGTATTCGTACTCCTACGTATTGTAATGATGTTTTCCACTAAAAAGAAACGGTTTTTGAAGTTTCCTCGATTTTATTCATTACGGTTTTTCTCAGCAATTTTTTTCCTCTGTTAATCTTTGTTTGCTTTTGATCATAGCAATTGTTACTAAAAGCATGCTGTTCCTAACAATGGAGTAACGACTGTAATTGAATCTTTCATTATTTTTTGCTCTTCTTATTATAAAGATATTTGATATGGATATAAATCATACTAATGATACAGCTCAACTAAAAGTTGAATCTTCTGAGATTTCATCACGGAAGTTAATCATCATCATCAGTTTGATACTATTCACTTCGCTAGTTATTATTTATCAATCTAAATCGCCAACAACATTAGAAGTACAGAAGAACCATATTTTTATCCATCCTCAAAGTTATTCTAAAGCCAATTGCTTGAGCGTTTCGAAAACTTCTGCTATAATTTGTCAATGGTACTTTTTAAATTACACGCCAAGTGCATGGGAAACTGTTTGGTTTACGAATATTGAACAACTACAAAATAGTGTTTGTGAAACATTAGCAAATGTAGATAATCTAAACAAAACAGTGTTAGCTGTCGAAAGAGTAGTGGAATTACAAAAATTTGGAAGAAACCATATCGAAAGCGATAAACAAATTGCTGATAAGCTTCTATCAAGAATGTTTTATCGGCAAGAATGTATAGATCCAAAGACGAATGTATCATTTCAAGGAGCAGAAGTATCACAATTAATTGAACCACTCATTGGATTACTACGTGATCCTTTAACGATATGTGATCGTATTAGTTCAGTACCTGTGACTGGTTATGAAGGAGCAGAAATTCAGTCGAAGCGATTTTTCTTATTATCAATCGCTGCTCCATTCTATAATCATTCATCGCCAAACACTTCTAAGAACAGTATCGAAAACAGCCTTGAGCCAGATAAACACAATATGAATATACTTCCTTGGATGTATCAAAGATCGAAGTTGAATTTGTTAGATCCAGAATTGGATATCTATACAAGCAAGGGACAGAATATTTTTATTGATTTGGGAAGCGCATATTTCGATGGTTGGACTGGTGCCAATGGTGCTGCTTCTGGGCGATGGTTTTATGAACATTATAGACGTTTTGGGACCAAATTCGATCGTATTCTTGCCTATGAGTTCACAGCATTAAATGCTAAAACTGCTTGGAATCAGTTACCTGCCGATGTTTTCCCTGTCTATACGTTGCTTAATGTTCCTTGTGCAGCGACTGGAAAGTTTAGTCCTTGGGTTATGCTAAAAGAAATAGCTAAACCACACGATCATGTTGTTATCAAGTTAGATATTGATACTCCTGAAATTGAAATTCCTCTGATGAGTCAACTGTTAAATGATTCATCGATTTATTCTCTAGTAGATGAAGTCTTTTTTGAGCATCATGTTCATGTAAAAGAAATGAATCGTTATTGGGTAACTCGACAAGGACAATTGAAAGATACGTATGTTTTATTCACGAAATTACGTGAACTTGGAGTACGCATGCATTCATGGCCGTAAGATGGCCTTTTAGAGTTACAACAATCAAATTTAGCACTGAAATTTGGTTCAAGACTTTTTTTCTTTCTGTTTTCTGTTTGCTAGAACAAATTGTTTAGTACACTATAGTCTTTTTCATGTTATATTTTTATTAAATTCAAACGATCATTTTATGCATTTAATAAAACATGTTTTGTCTGTCATGGGCTAGTAGTACCCGAACTAAAAGAATGAAATGAAGATATTACAAGATAATATCTACTTTTAGAAAATCTATTAATAGAAACACTGGAGGGTTTCACATGCCATAATTTTATATTGAAACAGCTTCAATTTGCCAACAACCAAATATATATTATATAGATCAATATTAATTCGTATTATCTTAGTTCAAAATGTTATTGAAGAGTTCATCAAATGGATAAGGAAAATCAGTTCATAGGAATTCTTAATGGGCTAGTTCATAAGAAAATTTTGAAGTTATGAAAGTATTTAAATATCAATATTTATACAGTAAGAGTTTTTAGAGATCTAATATTCTCCAAGTATCCTCTGTATGAGATGCGGAAAATATTTTTATCAATATTAAAGTCAATCGACATATTTCTTATCTATTTTCTTCTTCAAATCAAACAAATATATCAAAAAACGTCAGTTATTTTACTGTGTACGTGTTTTTTTCCGATTGGAGCTCTTCTTTTTGTAAATTAGTAGAAACTCTAAGTATTATTTTTCACCACAGGTTCTTCCACTCATATAAATCAATTGAAGACTAATACAGTAAAACATTTCTCATATAAATATTTCAAATAATATTGAATATCCGGAAGTTTGCATCTGTTTTGACTGAAAAATAAGTCTATCGCCTGTCGGCAAATCAACAGCATTCAACACATGTCTCTCATATTTTCATCCTTGGAAACATCCATTAAACGTTGCATTGCCCTGAAGCATTGCTCTTGTGATAGATATCATGCATAGATAGAAGTGAACTAAAAATAAACTCCAATAAAAAAAGCTAAATCTAACTGTTGAATGCAAAGACTGGTGATTATCCAGAACATTAATAAGTGGGTTCCAATCGAACGAGCACTCGCTACGATTTCAGTTTCTATTAGAACAACGTATTTACACATGGCAGCGAGGTTTATGATGGCAAGATTTTAACCCTAAATAAAATATGGATACATCGATTAATATTCTTATTTAGAATTAACAATGAGAGAGTGATGTAAAGAAAGAATGTTTTGGTAATTGCGAAATCTGAATCATAAAAGAATTTACAACAGCAGTTGATATGTGTTCAGTCGACTTCTTTGATTAGCCAATGTAATTCTCTCGCTCTCAATTCTGTTCTTTAACTGAAAGTTCAATAAGATTTTATTCAGAACAAAAATTCAGTTAGACTTAGATAAAAAAAAAGGAGTGCTCTTCCATAATGTAATTCTCTTCTCTCCAATGGATTCTTTTATTTTTCAAGATAAAATATCTAATTTTTTAATGCATACCCCAGTTACTTGAACTCATTTGTGAATGAAATCACTTTGAAGATTTTCATCATTATGATGAAGAATTTCATTAAAAAAATGGGATAATTCTCGGACATACTTATTCCGTTTTTGTATTCTTTGTTTTTTATTATAATAGTTTTTTTACATTGAATTTGATGCGAAGCCATCATTCGACCAGTGTAAATAAGAATAGAAATAAACGTGTAATACAATATTTAAAAAAACAGCTAAACAGCTATGTGAATCAATTGAAACTTTAGGACGAAATCTTCATAGAAACAATAAAACAAAAGAATTGAGATAGCACATATTGAGAACCTGGCATAAAAGTGAAATATACAATAAAAAAAAAGAAACATAAAAAAGAGTTTTCCAGAAGTTTTCAAAACAATTTTTAAATTGGTCGGTTTTGCATTCAACAGACTTTTTCTAATCTTGGCTAAACACTGTAACATGTAGTACTAAAGAGACGTTATGTTTCGAGTCTATCGCTTTTACTACGGATGAGAAATTGCTCCTATATTATTATACACTATTTTATGTTTGCAAATTATTGCTTAAATTTATAAAAATTCTCTAGATTTTATCAAATAATGATTTTAGATCCTCGTAAGAAAATGTCTTTTAGCTGATACGAAATTTTTTCGAGTTGTCGTAAAAAAATAGGTACAGAATTCGGTGATTTATCGCATTTGTCATCTATGACGATGGTAACTATGATTTAAACCCAATCAATATTTGATCTAAAGAAAATACTTATTGTGTACGTAGTATAACTGGAATGATGAGAGCAATTAAGCACGTGAAGATTGAAAAGTTAATAATTTTTGTTAGTCGCGAAAATGTTTTCTATTCGATATATCAAGTAACTAGATAGGAAAATCCAATAGAATAATTTTTGATAATGTAGTTACAGTTCGTCATACTTACTAGAAGCTATAGATCTGACACTTTTTCTTTACTTAGCAATAAGTAGAAACAATCGTATATGAAAAACTAAGGAGAAAATTAAGATTTGCTGAATGCAAAAACGATACGTTTTATAATTGTTTCAGTACCTCTACTACTCTGTCTACAATGGAATGTATTAAAAAGAAAGCAGTAAAATAAACGGAATGTATTCGTCACATTAAAAAGAAGCTTACATATGTACAGTAAAATTATAATTCAGATTGTGGTCTACGGTTACGTCCATGGGTTAATTGTATATGAGAATCATTAGGTGTGTGTCCGAATTCATCATTTTCTTGTTTATCCTCTGCATCATCAACGTATGGCGCACGAAGAGATTGAATATCAATAGCAAAGGCTATGCCTAATATTTATTAATAAATAAATAAATATATATATTGATCGAATCTTAATTCATTACGAAGTTAAAACTTACAAGCAAACAAAGCTAAAACAAGTGCAGCAAATTCAAACCAATAACTATATGATAAATAGTTAAATTCTGGTCTGGGCATCCAAAGACGATCTTGACTGCGGACACCATAGATACTAATAGCAATAAGTTCAAAAGCAACTAAAATAAAAAGCAATAAAATACGCACATAACTACTTAATCAATATTTACAAATAATCAAACACATAATAGACCAAATCGCTTGACATCTCCATTGCCAACGAAACGCTGAAAAAACTGCAACAGCTAAACTTGATATCGTCATTATTGTAAAAATGAATGCTAAGGTAGCAAATGCTTGTACCCATTTAAACCAAGCTACAAAAGCAAAATTGATTTATTTGTTTCAAATTCATAAAAAAAAAAGTTACTTGGAATAATCCAATCACGAAAACGATACATTTCATTTGTCCAAAACCAGAAGCAGCCAGTATACGGAATTTGTAAATCATCTTTATAATGGCGATATTTATACAAACATAATTCCCATAATCCAATATTTTGAAAATCTATTGGCGTGTCAAGATAACGTTTTGTCCAATAGGGCGATGCAAAGGCTGTTAGACAACATAGAGTACTTAGAAACATCAAAATTGATCCCACAAAAAAACAAGGAGAATACTGTGCATTTCCAAAATGAAAAGCTCCCATCTAGAAAAAATAAAAACATTAATGATCGATGTGAACTGAAAATAATTGTGAAATCTCCCTGAGATTTACACAAATAATAGAAGCTATATAAAACTTCACTCAATTAAAAAATAACAGATTAAAGAATAAATTGGAGATTATGAAGTCATTTCTTTACGTTTTCTCACGGGGTGAAACTTCATATTGCAGATAGAAACAAAAAACTTGACTTGTTTGTTTAAATTCTGTTTCTTTGTCTTATTTTTTCCCTCCTGTACGTCGACGAACAGTTACCCAACCATCTTCATCGACATCCATTGCGTCTGATTTTGGCTCATTTATGGATTCTTCTTCGTGTTCTTCTCTTATTTCATTATCATGATCATCATTTTCGGATGATGATGATGATGAATCATGTTCATTTCCATTTCGAACAGACATTCCCACTGCTGCGGCAGCTGGTTGTTGTGCCTGTAATTCTTGTTGAATAACAGCTAATTTACCTTCTTGAATAAGTTGAATATAACGAATAAATAATTTCGATAATTCACCACTTGAACCATCGTCTAAAATCGTATTAAATTCTTCGTCGAGTATTTCATCAAGATATTCTTGAATCTCTTGTTCCAAACTGGATATAGATGATGATCGAACATTTCGTACAAGATATTGACCAAACGCTTCAATGAAGGCTTCATATTTTGCTTCACTGTCGTGACCACCCATTGAATGGCTCACAGCAATTTGTAATGCTGTCCATCGTGAGAAAACCGATCGAACAATAGGTAAAAGTGTTGAAAATAGTGACATTTTTTAAATGATATCTATCAATAAAATACTAACTGAAAAAAAAAATATCCTTGACATTCTCCATTTAAGAATCATTTCTTCTTACCCTCTCTTCATTGTACGAGAGCGCTGCATGACATTTATTTCTACCATTCATACAAAACAATTCGATTGGACCACACAGATATCCATATGAAATTCATGTGTCAATAGAGCAGCAGCAGCTGATAAAAGTTTTTCATTTTTCTATAGTCGCTAACTTACTATCACATCATGTTTGACTGTGGTAATTGTTGTCGAGATCTTGACTTACGTGAACGTTTCAATCGAAATACAATTGCTTCGATTTTGGCTGGTGTTATTGTATGAGATGAATAGTCTTAACGAATTCTTTTACTTTTCTTTTTTTTTAAATATTTTTAGTTTGCAATTGGTTGGTGGATCATCATCGATGGTACTTGCCAATATCCTTCGCATGCCGATTTTAACAAGATATATTTTATCATTGGTTCAATAGGTACATTCGCATTGATTCTGTAAGTTTACATCAAGATATTCTAAATAAATTATTCAGGTTTTGTTGATTTTTATATTAGGGTTAATTCTGTATCGAATTCACAAGTTAGAGGTGAAAGCTATAGCGACAGTTGTATTGGTCCAGTCGGTATGCTATTCTATTTTTCATCTACCATATATATTTATATATAATGAAAATATTTTTATGTAGCTGCCCGCATTATTCTTTTCATTGCATTTCTACTTGCATTTGGTTCAGTTATTGGCGGTGCTTGGGTATTATTTGGCTACTATGTACCATATAAAACAGATAAAATATACCCAGGAATTGCTATTTTCAGTCAGAATCTTGCTATTTTCATTAGGTATGTTTCTTTTAATTCTTTTTTTCATTTGCATATTTTTCTTCATTTATTTAGTACGTTAATTCTGAAATTTGGCCGCAAAGAAGACCTAAGTTATTAATTTCATTTAAACAACGAACAAAATAAAATATTATGTTCGTCCTTTTTAATTAGTTTGTTTGTTGTTCGATGTTTTTTTCTAACATATATACCTATATCTATAAAAAAATATATTATACCTCGATGTTTATTCGTGCAGTTTTTGTTTTATTCAATTTGCTAGTTAGCGTTCTCTTCTGTATATATCTTTATAGTGTTTCTAATATACTATTGTTTATTATAATTGACTTATTCAGACAAAAAAAAGAAAAGAAAAAAGAGACAAGATAATAAATATAAATCGGCGATAAAACGAACCGATCATGGAATCGAGGAGATAATTGGTTTTGTCTAATAGAAAGATACTTTGTTCTTACATGTCACTATACTTCCTTGATGCCATTTGGGAAATCAAAAAACCTGCGTGTACTTGTTCGTGTATGTATTTATAGACTTTCGATTTGTCTAAAATTATAAGTTGAACAAGAACAATACACCCGAGAATGAAGACAACCATATATAAGCATGCGTGTGTCTTTCCATCAACAAACAACTGCACACATCAATAATCTTTTAGTATGCATTGCACAACACTGCACTCACTAATTTGTCACGAGAGGAATCAGAGTTCTACGTATCCTCTTTTTCTTCTTTTGCTTGTGCTTGTGCTTCTTCTTCTTTTCCTTTTTTTCTTCTTTTTTCTTCTTTTGCTACTACTAGTAGGAGGCCTGTGCAGATTCAGATGTTCGTATGAGAAAACTAAAGCCAAAATCGATTATTTGACGTGCCCTTTCCTTTTGCTATCATCAGTCGCTTCGCGCCTGTTCTTTCTTTCTCATTCGTCTTTAGTAAAAAAGGCAAAATAAACCTCTCGAATTGCAGCCCACTGTATGTTGCCCGCCTCTCAATTAGCCTGTTAACAAGAATGAACCAGTAGAAGGACACGAGAGAGAGAGCGAGAGCGAGAGAGAACGATAGCGAGACTCTTTGTTAAAGGGTACACAGTTCAATATAATTAAACAAATAACTAGCCAGCGGCAGCGATGAATGTTCTTTCAGTAGATAGAGATGTCCTCTTGAGCTTATAGATTGGCTAATATATGTAATAGTAGTATTAAGACAATTATTAACATAGTACGTCGTACAGCATATAAGGTCATTTTATGCAACTTGTTTAGCCTGTTTCTCTTTTCCCCTTATTTTTGTTATGTGCATTCATTGACAAAAGAAAGCAGACATTGAAGGAAATATAACAGCAGCGTAGAATACGACAAAATAATTTTGATCGATTCTCATTGTCGTCGCCACTATAGCACGATCCGGGTTATCGATGCTTTGTTCGATGAACTAACTACTGAAAGAAGGAATCGGTTGACGAATCAAGGCTATTTGCTCTTTTCTTTTATTTAAAAATAGTTGATAGATGAACGAACCATACTTGTGCATACTTTTAGTTGTCAACTATTATTGATATGGTAGGAAAATAACCAAACAAAAAGCTGAAGATCCCTACCATTATAATGGTCTTCTTTTCTTACCATATCGAGGTCGCATGCATCGATGAATGAACGAACATTCAGTTCTCAGGAGATTTCGTTAAGACAAAATAACATGGTCGTCGAAGAGGAAAAAAAAATTTTATTGTGACAATCGGCAGCAACTTGGTCACAAAGTCGGTTATCCTGTTATCACTTTTACTATTTTGTGCATAACAACACAAAAATATATGGGACTTCTTTATGCTGTTGTTTTTACAAATTATTGATCATAAACATATAAATATTAAAAGAGTACTTGTGCCTGAGGCATTCATTGACTTCATATAGATACGTTCAATTTTTTCTGCTTTCATGAATTTTTTCATGTCGTTGCGCATTTCTCTCTCTCTCTCTCTTTAACTATCTGGCTCCTTCTCGGCTTTTCATATAGTGCCATCCTTCCGTTTTTTTTTCTCCGGTGTTCTGACAAGAACAAGGTTAGAACGGATGCCAGTATCAGTCGGCTCTAATTGGACTTAGTATATGCATTTGCTTCTTTTCTTTTTCTTTTTTTTCAACTAAGTTGTCTTAGTCGAGCTAAATCTCCTTTTTTTATAAATAGACATCTCATCAACCATACATAATGAACTTGCATGACTGAGATTTTTCTACTTTAAAATTTTCTTCTTGATATCATATTTTTTTAAGAATAGCTTAGGAAATAGTTATTTTTTCATTTTGATGCTTCATTATCTACGGAAATATATTTCTAAATATAAATATCAATATATGCGTGCATTCATGCACACACACGTATAAATATATATATATTTAGATAGTTATATATATATACACATAATGATGAATGTCTCTTTGTTTATAAAGATATTTGAATGATGTTGAGAACAATTCCTTTTCTTTAGTTTTTCTTCTTGCTTTCTAGGATCGACACATTGATTTTCCATTCTAGTTTCTGTTTTGCTAGTATAGCTCTCGTCGTCCTTCCGGGCGTGAAAAACAGAGGCAAGAATAAATTCTTTCTCTTCCCTTACTTTTCTTTTTCTGATGGTTTTTTTAACTATCCTCTTGCAGTAACCGCGCATGCACGACTCGAATAGATCTTTTCTTCCGCAACTCCTTCTTTCTCCGTCTCCGTCTCCTTCTCTCTCTCTCTCTCCCTCTCTCTCTCCCGGTTCTATCGGCTCCCTCATCGCTAACACTACCAACATTAGTTTCAACCGCTACACTGTGTAACCGTCACTTATTTGTGAACAAGAAAAGACAAGTGTAAAAATATTTGTATGTATCTGTTTATACTATCAACTTCTTTCTTCTTATATTGAAAAAAAAACAGAAAAATATTCATAGATAAGAATAATTATGTAAAACAGAAATAATGTCAAGAAAGAATAACAATCTTATCATAGGCCAGTTACCCTTCATGATATTATGCTACACTACACCTGGAAATTATATGTCATTGATTGCCGTCACAGATTTTGTTTTTCATCTTCGTATATAAGGAGCACCGAGAAAAAACTAGAATTTATTATTCACATATACATAAAGTCATATATTTGCACACATACAAAATAAATATGTAAACACACGTTTCCTTTCTTGACATACATCTGCATTCATGGTCTACACAATGTAAAAATCATCTCATCAATCTTATTAAAATTTGAATTTATAATGTAAAGTGACAGAAACCGGCAGACAGCACCAGTAGTGCTATACTATTATTATTATCATTATTATTATTATAATCAGTATTATTTTTATTAATATTATTATCAACATCATCATAATCGTGGTCAACATTTCACAGAATCATTGGTCGATTATTATTAGTACTCGTGCGTGCACAATAGGATAAAATCGCTTAACGTACTTATGAAAAATAAAAAAGAAGATTTTCTCATCTGCGTAGGCAAGCAGGCAATGAATGTCGATGTATATGTCTATGTTTTGTTTATTTGTTTCGTAGATTAACCCGAGATACTAAAAAAGACAAAATGAGATGCTTGCTCCATGTGATCATCTTTCATATTGCTCGTTTTTTTTTGATAGACAAGAAAATGACGGCTGATAATATATAGAATTCGCTGCATTAGAATAGTAATACCCATCACTATAGAATAGAAATGAATGTACCGTACAAAGGCGAAGCCTTACTCTATAAGCAAAATAACTCGTCGACTCATTATCATGATTGCTTTCAGAAGGGGTTAGAATAAGATTAGACGACCATATAGATATGTGCAGCATTAAGAATAGCAAGCAACAGTAATATCGATCTATCAGTGTGTTGTCATAATAAACGAGCAGAAATTGAGAATACGCGCGGAAGGAAAAGAATATGAGAGATCTGTAAATGATTTTGCCACAAGGACAAATAATAGTGATGCACACGTAGTTCCAAATCATCTAACTATACATGTCTATATAGTAGAATCATATTGCATAGAAAATCTAACGATGATCGTATGTGTTGATAGGAGAAATATGTACGTTCTCTTGATTCTATTAGATAAATCTATATTTTCAATAAAGAAAGCTATTTCTATTTTTTATTATTATTATTCGTCAATATATACATATGTAGAAGTAGCAGAAATGAGCATGATTCTTTCTAGAGATATTGTGAAAATTTTTCTCACATACACATCTATTTATATATCTATATAATACTCCAGAGAAAAAATAATAGTCGTTTCTATAACATATTCTCAAATGTAATAGCTTAGGTGTCACCTAGTCTGTTATGAGAAAAGCCAGCGGTCGTCATCATAATAATTTGTCTATTCTATTTTCTATATTATAGTTTTATTTCAGATGCAAATTGTACAAAAGTGATTTCTCATTAATATTCATCATGGTCATAATTGCATTTGTAATTTAAAACAACTAAGATTACAACAGATATACATCCGATGTAGGATGGTCGTATGGCTTCGGCCTCAGTGTATTCTGGCAATTGTCACCAGTTTGCACTTTTATTCTCAATTAGGTATATGTCATAAATAACAACGATTACTAAAGTAAAGCTTTCAATAGAATACATATCATCAGGGGAAATCTCATGTCATTTTTCTCCAAACGTCAGCACATTCTGTTTAGTGGTAATTTACAGTCATGGTACTATGTTGTCTTTAGTGACATCAAAACTATTTAAGATGAAGCAGGAAATATTGATGAGATTGAAATCCTATCTTAGCGAACACTTATACGACATTGAACTTTCTTTTTACAAGTATACACTGCATCAATATAGAGCTTCATCAATTGCAATTTTTTTATTTTCATTCTTATGGCGTGAAGGTCATAGAACAAAACCTTTTGTCTATCAAATAATTTATTTTTTATTATGAGATAATATCAGTTTTGCTCCCCAAAGATACGCCTTTTTTTTCTATCCCTATTATTGCACAATTATTCATTAACACTTGAGAATTGTACAAAATAATTATTTTGTTATTGTCTTTGTTCTAAGTTTCTTCCAAAACGTATGAACATTTTTGGTGTGCAACCGAAGAAGGTCATCGTCAAGCATCCTGTCCAGATGATACTGCACTATTAACAGATGTAACAATACGTAAAATTTACCGTCGTACACAATCATGTGAACCTGATTTTCACTCAGATTATCTTATTCATTGTCAAGAACATATTGATGGATCGTCATGCGAAGGAAATCGAACATGTTCAATTGAAGTATCTAGTCGAAATTATATCAAATGTGGAGACAAACGTTATCCGCCAACATATTTTCTAGTCAAGTTTACTTGTACACAAAGTAATTCTCGCAAAAAAGAATAATAAAAGAAATTTTATTTTTGTCGATTATCTTATTAGTTTATACAATGTGTGCGGATACAGATCCTATCCGAAACACACTCTATGGATTTATTGTTTCGCCAGCCTATCCACATCCCATGGCTGATAATGTAACATGTTCTATTAATATTGGTATGATTAGTTTCTTTTGTTTCATTAAACACAATATGTATATATATAAATGTATATATTTCTTTCAATGATTTTTCAGAGGCCGGTCCATCAATGTATATTGAATTAGCACCCATCCAAATTCATTTACAAGAAGCAAGTAAATGCAGATCTGAATATTTAGAAATTTTCGGATATATAAATTCACAAACAAATAATTCCGTCGCTGAGAAGAGAACATCAAATAAAAATGCAAAAAATATTTGGAAATCATATTATACATGGTGTGGTGCTGAACACTCAACAAACAATCCGTTACCTAGTGCACGTTATCTTATTGCGTCCAATTCACTATATATAGCATTACATACAGCTGTATCAAAAAAGCCAAGATACTTTAAAATACGATATAAAGGTATTTAGTTAAGGATCATTAAAATCGATTATCATTAAAAAAAGAAAAGAGGATTATTTTTTTGGGTGACACCAACGATAATCTAAGCTTTTATTTCAGTAATAAAAATTTCTTTCTTTAAGTCTTCTTTTGTTTTTGTAATTGTTTAGTTGTTCCATCAATAGTACGTTCGGAATATGATTCAGATGGCATTGCATATGATTCAATATCCGAATCACAAACACATTCTTCTATGACATCAACTACTATTCAATCAACTACAATAGCTATGCCAACAGTTCAAAATAAATATAATGAAAATATTAATGGAACAGTACCAAAACGAACATTTAAAAAAGGTAAAGAATAAAACATATCTTTGTTTTGTTAATGAAAACTTTATGATTTTTTTGTTGTAAAGAAATTCTCATCGGTATTATTGCTGGTGTAGTCGTTCTTGTACTTGCTATACTTGCTGGCATAGGTATATTCCTTTTCATGAAAAAGTAATTTATTGATTAAATTGAAAACAAGAAATATTTCATTATCATATATTTCTATTTGTTTAGACGTCGCCTCTCAAAAGGAACAGCAACAGTATCGAAATCTACTACATCGCCACCAGCAAACGCTGCAGGAAAAAAGAATTCAGCCGGTCCAGCAAGTTCAAATAATACAGGATTGAAATCAAATGCAAAACCCATCGATAAGGCTCCACTTCTTGAACAACCAGTCAATACACAAACAGCAGCAGCAAAACGTAAATTAGTACCAGAAAGAACAGTACACATAGCTGATGTGAATAGTTCTCGTTTTAAATCTACTGCTGGAGCAACAACAACAGCAACTCACACAGGAGCAACTGGTAAAGATACAAATGCAACAAGTGCAAATACTGTTGCGCCGTCATCAGCACCATCTGCACTTAAACCGCCATTAACAGTCGCTGATAGTGGTATTTATGGTGCTGATTTAAGTGATGATGTGCCACCAGTAACTAAACCAACTTCGCCGACTGAACCACCAAAAATCTATGGTTCTGATTTGCCTGATAAATCAGATTTAACTCCTCCTGTAACTGTTGTTGTTAATCCATTAAGCGAACATTGTACCAATACTACTACTGCGGCTACTGCTACTACTATTATGACTAATACGACATCATCTGATGATATTGTCCCAGATGATATATCAACGGAAACATTAGAAGAAGAAAAAGAAGTTTTATTAAATTCATTTGTAAATGAAAAACATTTAGACGAAACTGTTAAAAGTGCCTATTCACATTTAATTGACGCAACGATAAGTGAAAGCGAAGGAGGCATTGATGGGGGATCAATAACCAGTAGTGCATCACAATCACGTCGAACATCGAATGCTAGACAACCATTACTTTCACACGAAAGAAATAATATTCAAACAATACCACGTAAAGCAGCAACACAATTTAATCCATTACATATGATATTAAAAAAAGATGCTAACAAATATTATACAACAGAATATATTTAATTAAAACAAAACGATTTGCTTTTTTCCTTTATTTATGTTTAACTGATATATTCAAACGTGTTTTTTTTGCAGAACATTAACAGAAATCAAATTTTATGTCAATATAGATGTTATTAGTAGGACTGTTTGTTTTGTCTATGACAAACTTTTTGTTTCGAAAAATAATTATGTTTCATCTTGTACATGTTTCTTGAAGCTTTCGAGATTATCAATAGATACAAACCAAATCTGGTCAAATGCGTATCGTATAGCTTGCTCAGAATCCATTAACTGTGCATTTAATATTTTTGAAAATATACCGGCAACCATTTTCATATCATTTGCAAATGCACCAGTTCCAATAGGTCCTAATAATAAATATGTATCTTGACCGTTTCCATGTGTATTAGCAACAGCTGATGCTATGATAGCTTGAAATTTTTGATATGTATGATCATATAATTCTTGATATTTTTCACGTGATGGCGGTTTATATAAACCTTCACCCATACCGGATAAATCATAACCTATAAAATATTTAAAAAACGTAAACTCCTTGAAAAAATCGATGAAGCCTATATTTTATTTGGAAAAAATGTTATGAATTTTGGTTACAGCGTTCAGATATTCTACGACAATAAAACGAAACTATATTAAATTATTCTATCGCTTATCCAGGGTTTTGAAAATACGTTGTTTTTTAATAATATAAGAGTCAGCAAGTTGCTTCTCACATTTTAACATATCTGGCTCTGTTATGAATGATAGAAATAGAACTATTTCGATAAAATACTTTTGATAAGTGCTATATTATTTTTGAAAATTTTTATCGATCTTTAACGTTCTCAAGAGACACTTCAGTAGAGTTCTTAACAATCTACATACCTGAGAACTCACCAACTCACGTCATCAATCTGTAAAGGGCACATTCATTTGTTTTCGATTAAACTGACTTTTAAGTTATCTTTCATGTTAGAAACATAAATTCTACTTAGCTGTTGGAGTAAGATACATGTGAAACAAAACACTTCAATATCAGATACAAAGGTAACATTAACAGAATTGTTTTCGTCATGACTTCATATTGAATCATAAATAGATGTTTACAGCAGCACAGCAATGAGAATAACCGACTGAAATTAATCACTTTTGCAATTAAATCATTTCTTTAGAATTCACATAAGACTAATAATGTTTAAAAATTGATTGCAAAGAAGAAAATATTTTCACTCTTATATTGTACTTAAAATGGAAAGTCTGTTGAAACGGAAAGGTTTCATCTCCCGCGGCTATAATACCATACTCAACATAAATGAAAATGCAAAATGTTTCAAGTGGGCATATTATTAGTGAAAATAATACGTTGATTTCCATAATGAAGAAGTACACTTCTCATATCCCCTTGGAAATAAATCATCGGTATGATTTTTATACGGAAAAAGCAATGAATATAATACAAACTAAAACAGTAGAGATTCATGCTATTTTACTAATCGGAAATACTTACAAGCAGCGACTATCAAATCCGTTTCACGTTCATTTGGATTTGATTTTTGAAAGAAAACTACTTTTTTTATATAAGCTACACCATATTCAGGTAATATATAGCCTCCATCCATTAGTTTATATTTTAAATCTAATAATCCACGATAACCATCAGAATTGTAAAGTATAACCTAAAATAGAAAGTTTAAAAAAAAAAGAAAAATATTTTTATCAACATTTCCACAAACTTCTTCTTGTGTGCGAGCATTCTCGAGAAAATAGCCGCCTGGCATACGTTCATCGGCAAAATCAAGAACAATAACTTGTTTACCTGGTGGAACTTGAAAAACAGCTTGTTCAATACCAGATTGAATAAACTGTATTTTTCCAGGATTTTTACGTGTTTTAACAGGTGATTGTTGTAGAGCATCGTGAGAATCCTGATCTGCTATTGGGTTAAAATAATCATCTTCATTTAAACGTTTTATTTCATCATAATTCCAATATATTTTAAGTTCATTGTCATTGAAACCCTTTTCACGATATTTCGATATATATTCTAGTGATTTCAGTGGACCTGGTCTTTTTAATGATTTTAATTCCCAATAGTCGTCGGATCCCGCAGAATGATGTTGTTCTCGATAAGGTTCATTTATCTTTTTAAGAGTCATGTAATCATTAGTAATACGTTTAAGATCGACGCGTCGAGAACATTTGTTTATTAGATCGATTACTGCTTGATTATTTGGTTTGTCATAAATTAATTTTAAAAAATAGAGCATTGTTCGACGACTATGATGATAATCATATTTTCTTTCAGTTTCATACTGATCTGACGATGGAAAGGCGACACTAAGCATTGAATATATGTCGACTTTACGCAAAGCATGCAGAGGCAAATAAGCATTCGAATTTGTCATATTATAATGAGTCAATCTTTGAGAAAACGATAGAAATATTAATGATCTTGTTAGAAAAGTTGCATGAGAATGACAAGATGATAATAAGAAGAATGTCATTTATTGTTGAATGATAAACTCATATCGTGAACTGTATATGATAGTGTACAGTTTACTTTAAGTTGAAATTAAAAATACAATAGAAAGAAACGAAGTATACAGTCAATGTTGACTACGGTTGCTATAGATATAATAGAAAAGGAGATATAAAATGGTGGAGCTACTACAGACGTATACAGATTTATGAATATAAACAACACAATAGAAGGCGGTTAGATTTTCAATCGCTTGGACAAGTTTTCATTAGGTTGAATGATATAAGCCGAACGGTTACGGAAAAATACACTATTCAAATCTCCTATTTGTAATTTGTTTTTAATGACTCTAATTATATTTTTCTATGTATTACAGTTCTTTTTTTTCTCGTCTCTATTCTATGTTTTCTTATTGGTACTTAATAGTACTACCTATATTACGCTTGATTAGTAATAATACAAATTGTATTTTAATTGCTAAGGTTCCAATTGAATATAGAAATCATTCAATATTTTGCAAAGAAAAAATTCCTTCAGCGAATATTGAATATTGTTTTTGATGTATACCAGAGTCTGCTATCCTAATTCTGCCGAGAAAAAAGTGACTCTCAGTATTTCATTCGCAAGAGGAGATCTGTGAATCATAGAAAATTAATTTTTGCTTTGCAAGAGAGAGCAAACATTTCTCTATCACCTGATATAAAATTAGTTGAATAATATATTATTCAACTAATTTTTATACCAGTTGATAGAGAAATGCTTGCTCTTTCTCGAAAAGCAAAAGTTAATTTTCTATGATTCACAGATCTCCTCCTGTGAATGAAATGCTGAGAGTCATTTTTTCCCGGCAGAATTAGGATACCAGACTCCATATATAAATCGGAATTCAGTTTCGATGCTATTGGTGCATTTTTATCTACTCATATCAGTACCAATTTTCATTAATATTTGTTGTATGTAGATAGATGGATTTGCTCTAGCTTTCTGCTAGGCTGTGCCTATCATGGAGATACGCACTGTACGACATCTGCAGCGTACCTAGATAAAATATAGGTAAATTTTTTTGATTGCGATAAACAATGTTCTATTTATAATTATACAAAATAAAAATAAAAATACTCAGTCCCAAATCGAACATTCCGGTCACCGGATCCCGTAGGATACTCCAGGAAATATGCGGGAAACTCGCCATATCCTGCAGGGAAATCGCTGGAACATGGAAGCAGTATTCCGGTCAAAAATACGGGCGAACTTTTCCGGTGGATTTTTACCAAGTTCCGGTGCTTTCCGGCAGGAATTGATCGGAAATCACCGGAAAAAATTTTCCAACCGGAATATTGCTTCCACAAAACCAACGGAACTACCCGGAACCGGCCGTTTCCAGACCGGACTGTTCCACCTGGGTAATTTGGTTCAAATGACACCCTAACTATTGTAAATTCGTGCACGAACGACTGATATTTCAATGCCATCTATTATTATAGCTAGTACGGGAATATCAAGAGAAAGATTATTGAGATTCTTTTAACGGTTATATTGAATAAAGAGAAAAGCAGAATATCAAATACAATGCTTAACAATTTGTAGTAAAAAAAACATGTTTACGCGTGAAATTTATCTGTTTAAAGCAAAAACTAAAAAAAATAACTATCTTATTGTTTTCCGAAGAGTATGAAATTTGAGTTGTGATAAATATACGAGGATGAGAATATTAATAATTATTGAATTATCAATAATTTAGCATGAGCATGACATTTGCAGAAGCATGTTTGTCGAGAAAGGCTTCAAATACTGAGAAATTAATCTCTATTTTCAAAAATAAAAATAATCCAATAAAATTTGCGATCCTTTATTCCATTGAATAATATCGAATGTGCCCCACGGTATCTATCATGATAAGAGTATACTATACACTAGAAATCATGTGAACACGCAATATTTGGCAGTTCTATTTCTTAAAAATCGTATAGTTTTAGACAATATCTACATTTAAGTAACGAGAGCTCATTAAAGCTATAAAATAATGAAGAACGAGATGTTTTTTTCTTTAATATCACCCATAATTCTCGTTTACTGAGTCGCTTAAACCTGAAATCATAGTACTTGTCGGCATGAAAATATCCTAAATTAAACTTACTTGAAATTTTTATAAATATAATTGGTATGCGTGCTGCTATTAAAAGATTGAGTCCTGATAATAATTACTCTACATAATTAAGCATTTTCCGTAGATGGAAAAGAAAAAAGAACTGCCAAGTGAAGAGAAATATTCTTCAATAATGCGAATGGATATCAAAATTTAAAGCAGCTTAACTTATATTTCATAAATTCAATGAAATAACTTGCCAATCATTTAAAATTGTAAATGGCTAATCAAAGAAATTTGTTTTGTACTCCTGTATAATATTTGTTTAAAGGTTATGACAAGTAGTTATATAACGATGAAGGATTATGAACTATTTTAATCACAATCAATCGAGATTCATTTCATACTATTTTAGAATTTTTTCAAAGATTTTTCGCATTCCCAGCAAAGGACTCCTGGAGCTGGCAGTACAACATTGCCATGAAGAACACAATATATGTTCTATCAAAACTGCTCAACACTATTTATCTTCTCTACTTTCTTCGTATAGCTGATAGATTCAAACGTTTGTCTGTCTCTATAAATAACCTCCGAGTCCTATTCTGTTTATATTTATTTTGACCTAAAATTTCTTGTTTTAATCGAAATCATATATTCACACGATCAAAGTGGCACTACTCTGTTTCTAAAAATTGAATATAAATGTAAGCTCCTTAGTAGTAACTTTGAATACACTATGTAATCTGATTTTCAAAGTAAAGTAAACTTGACTATATGATCCAAAAAAAAAGTAATTTCAAGTTAGCTTTAGACTATTCGATGGCTGGCTGAATACCGCTTTTTGCTTTTTTTTAAAGCAGCTTTGGTTCTGATTAGTTTGGTAATCTTTATTTTTATAAAAAAAAACGAGACCCATGAAATTTCAGTCATTATCTTCGACACTGTATACTAGCTAAGTTTTGTTGGTTCATGGTAACGGCAATAGTCCCAATGGTACCATTGTTTGTTTTCAAAGGCGTTGGAGTCCATCGTGGAGCAAAATAAATTTTAAATAATCGATTTTCTACGAATAAACGTTTCAAGTCTTTTCGAAATACACGAGTTGTCAAAATATAAATATAGAATGTGGCACTGAAATTAATATTATTCAATGCAACAGTAATATTCGAGTAGAACCTATCGAGAGCTAATTGAACATTCGATTTTATCCATGAAATTGTTACAGTTGAACAGAGTAAATACATTGGAAAAGGTAAACATGTGATAAGATAAACAGCTAATTGAACAAGTATCATGATAAGTATTTCATATTCTCTAGATTTAACATTAACTTTGACTTGTTGCTGACTAATAAGTATCGGATTTCTGTTCAATCGAGGATTAACACGTTGACGACTCAGTTTAACATGTCGAATAGTTAAAAAACCAAAAATGATCATTATAATAGGTATAAAAAAGACGGATAAAACTGTATTATAAATATTGTAGAATATTGAATAATCACGTAATATCACCATACATCGACCTATGAAGTTCAAAAAAAGCAAAGAAGAATTTATTGTACCGTTTATAAATATAGAATTAAGAGAAATTAGCACTACTACAGAAAACTCATAGAATCAACAAAGTATAGTAAAATATTATCTATTGAATGTAACCAAATAATATTTTACTTACCATTAACAATGAAATGATGCCATGGAATATGAAGAGAAATAATAGACCAGACAATGGCTACCGAAGGTATTATTATTTTCGCGACGTTTACTTTACTATAACTTCGAAGTTTAACACTTGTAGAGGTCATTGCCCATCGATCTATACATGCCAATACAATGTAAATTCTTGATAATAACGTGGTAACATGAGAGAGATATTGTCGAAATCTACAGAAATATAAGGAGGTTGTTGTTGGATCAATACCAAAGCCAAATGACAACATATGAAAAAGAATATCAATATTGACAATGAATAAATTAGTAATCGATGAAGCAAGAATATAACATGAACATGAACTTTGAAGATACACGCGCTGTGTTAGAATTAAAATATTTAGAATACAACCAATATTTCCAAGACTAAAGATAAATGGATATAAATAGCGGCCCATATTTATTTCAATGAGATTCAATCTATCGATGAGGAGTTCTGTTGCTGTATGTTCTACAGATACGTTTGGCATGGCAGTTTAAATTTCTATTGAACACAATAACATGAATCAAATCTAAATGAAAGTTCTTATGTAGAATTTCTAATAATGTTATTGACTATTTTTTCCTTCTCGATCCTCTTTCTCAATGAGAATTCAATAGACAATGGAGTGTAACTAAGTATTTAGTTATCTTTCAAAAGAAATGGAGGTATTAAATAATTAAATATAGAGAGAATTGAATTTCATACGAGAAATTACAATTCTTAAGAAATATTTTCATGATCATTGACGCAGTTCTTACACTCAAAGAACAGAGTTCTGTGAGTGATTAAGAAAATAAGTGCTTTTGCCCTTATTTGTTAACCCTAGGATGGTCAATGTGGATCCAGTCGGATCCGCACGACTACTTTTTGTCTGCCGTTTCCTAATTCTCCTTGCTTTTCTAGTCAATGTTCTTTTCTAATCGCTAATCTGCTAGTGATAAACATAGACCATATCGTATTGTAGATAAAAGTCTCAAGAGACAAAGAATTAAAGGTAGGTCGACATGGACCCACTGCTACCCTTGGTGATACATATGAGTTTTACCTATTTATAACCTGTCATCTACCTACCGTGTCTAGGTTTTATTTTTCAGATGATTCGTTAATTGCTCACTTCCAATAATGATTCGAATACTATTTTCATGTGTTCAAAAGATTTTGCTACCTCTTGATGAAAATATTCTCACCAGTACTTCCGGTTATGATGACCGCTCTCGGATTTTCTTACCTGGAAAAATGTCAAGTCTCAGTCTCTAGAGTTCGACAGATGCTGAATTCTAAAAAATGACAAGTAAACCATGTCTAAAGAGAAATCTAGATGTTCTTATGATGGATAATACTAATGAGCTTGACAAAAATATTTGCGAGGGCGACGAGTCGAATTCTGATCCAGATTATTCAGATGTTGAAACAGAATCCAATGACACATTCACTGATGAATGTATTTCAAAAGAAGATGATTCATCAGATTCTTTTAGGACAACCGAGCAAATCTCTTACTAAGTCTCACAATGAGCGTCGTGTTGAAGAACCTCATCTATCATTTAAAACGAAACTTGCACTACAATCTCTTCGATTCAAACTTCGCCGGGAAATCTCCATAACTGAAAATCAAAACGATGATCTTGCCAAAAGAAAAAAGAGATGCTTTCTTTGTCCGACACATCCTGGACGCAAGGTTACGGAAAGGCATGATACATGTCAAAACCACGTTTGCAATACTCATGCAATCAGCAAAAGAACAATTATATGTCAATCATGTCAAAGAAATTCTTTAATTGGTTGAAACTTTAGATACAAAACTATTAGATAATTTCGATCAAAGATAGTTAAAGCAATTTACTGGTTATAAATGTCATCATGTTTTGTTTTAATTTATTCGTTGTTAAAAACTAGAAATAAAGAAACAAGAAACTGTTGTCCTTTTTATTATGAGAAACTCTCTCTGTCTTAACATATATTTCCATCTCGCCATGTACGAGAGTATTTACTAGCTTACAATCTGGTAAGAAATAGATTTGATTTTAAATCGTACTTTAAATTGTTCATGCTGTTGTAATCTCTTATTAAAAGCGTGTCTTACACTACCCAAATTCACGTCATGGTCTGTAGCCCTGTACCGGCATCTGAGAAGGACATAATGACTGTTCTCAATATGTCCATGAATACTAAGAATTACACAGAAAAATCGGATTCCTCCTATTCTTTTGCATGTGGGTCCGGGTGGATCCACAATCGCCTTTCGCATGATAAAATGTAGAAGCCTTCCGGAGGTTAAGACTATCGTAGTTTCTTACTAAATGCTTCAAATTTCTTGAAATTGATGCTTTCTTTGAAAATGAAGCACTGATATTCAGGGTAAAATGACTATCTTAAAAACAAAATTGAATAATTAATAGTATCTCATTAATTATTTTCATGATTATATACACTTAAGCAGAATACACGCTTCTTTGAAGTGTACTTTCAGAACGGATAAGTTCAACAGGAAGAAAAAAAAGTAGTCTGTTGCAATGATAATTACGATATTTATACATCGAACTAATTGATAAGAACTTTTAATACAAATAATAAATTGTGCGAATCCATCTATATCTTAACTGGTTAGCTAAATAAATCTGTTGTTTTTCATCATAATTTATTTTACTATGATAATGTTTTAATTTAATATTTATATAAACGGAACAGATTTTTATTTAACACGTATAGTTAGATATACGCAAATGGTTCTAAAATAAACTATGTAATCATATTTGTTATTTCTAGGACAACAATTCTTTTACATTGAGAATGAAATCATATTACATAAAAATCATAGGTCTCTCAATGATATATTTGCTAGTATGTATACTCATTACATTTCGAGATTATTTCTTATTTTCTCTAGATAATATTTTCGTAACAAGATAAGAAAATATTGTAAAACTATGTTTCGTTAAATCATTTAATAATAATTTATGGAATATAACGTAATAGATTTCGTAAAAATCATCTACAGTCTCCGGTTTATTCTATCATGTTTGCAAGTTTTGAATTTTTCTGTGTGAAAGAAAAGGAATTATTTATATAACACTTGGATTCATTGACAGACTGACATTAGAGCTTTTTCAACTTGATTCACAAGAGTATTGTGACAGTCATCAATCAAAGCGAAGGTTGTATAGCTCAATTAACGTTCTATAGAATGAGTTAACTTTTACGCTAATGATTGAGAACACGTGAAGCTCATAACTCTAAACTCTAAAGCCCTGAAATGCTAACGCAAATAAAGGCACGCTTATTAAAAAGATAATAAAGTTATTTTTAGAGTTGTAGCATGCAATCAATACAATTAGTCTTTTATAACTTCAACTTCATGTCACTATTTTGAGATTCTCATCATCGAGGCTTATTTATTTTGATTTATAAACAATTGATAAAAAATTTTCAATGGTCAGATATCTTGATCTCAAGTTTAGTGTTCTTGAAAATTCAAAAGCTGCACTGCTGTCTCAGTTTATCGTCTATTAAAGTATGTGTTAAGCGACAAACCTCTTCTTTTGATGAAATGTAAGAGTTCATCTAAAATTTTACAAACTTGCTCATTAGAACTTTACAAAGTACAAGAGAAGTAAACTAAAAACAAAGTCACAATAATGATGCAAAATTCAAGGTAAAATTCTACATTTTGGCTTATATATAACTCAAAAAAGGACATTCATGCGTTTTTTGTATGTAAATGTTCATTCAATACACGAATATTGGACACCCGCAATTCTCTCTTTGATCAAAGCATTTTCAGACACTTTCTATAATACGTATCATGTAGAAAATATGTAGAATATTAGTGCATAGTTCATAAAATAATGAATGTTTTAATAACTTTCATTAGAATTGAGCGCACAATGTCAGATATGTGCAAACCCTCTAATCATGAATTTGCACATGGTGATCCGCTTATTAAACTATGATTATTATACTGTTCAACGAATTATATAAAAGTGACACTTTCAGTTAATAGCACGAATTTTTATTAGAGATGGCAATTATTAAAATCTATTTATTTTGTGCAAAGAATATTTCGCTTTTCTTTTACTGAAAAATCACGATTGTACAATAATATTACTTGATAGAAATTCTGTATTTTTATTGTCTGTTTTTCAATATAAAAAATAAATAGTCAACCGATTGGTGAAGGAGCAAAAGACTTCTTCAAATTATAGTGATTATCATTTCACTTAATAAGCCCGAGTAGTAAATATTTATTCATATGAACATCGTTCGATTTATCGGTATCATATAAATTCAGCCGTTGCTCGTGTCAAAATAGTCATTTTCTCTTCTTTTACATGAATAAAGTCAAGCTTTGAAAAGCATTTTATTCACAGAATAAATCATCAAATGGTTAAAAGATCGACTGAACTCATTAAATTGTTATTTCTATTATAAAATATTCACAGTGTGATCAATCTTTTAACCGTCTCCGTTAAGAACAAAAGACATAATAAAAAAGCTTGCGCTGTGCAACCCCTGTGGGACTAAAATGTGGAACTCACATATGAGTGAATTGCGCTAACATTATACGGTTTGAAGAAAAAAATAAAAGTAACCAGAGGATAGATTTGACCCGTGCATTCGATAGAGCCTTATTTGTTGTATATGAGTCAACTATTTTCCCCGCAGTCAGAGTTTCCATTTCAGAGAAAATTGAAATCTCAAAATATATGAAAGGTCCGAGATTTCTTGACAAAATAAAATTACGAGTAAAATGTTGTTGCATGGTTAGCATATATGAAACGAATCATTTTCAATCGAGAAGTCCAAGAGACATGTGCAGAATTTTACTCGCATGTATTATTCATGCATTTTCGGGAGTGTACTGCGATTGCTACTATTAAAAACGCATATTTGTTTTAGAAACGCGCTTTATAGCTAAGTTCTTTTTTAACATTGTTTCGCGATAACAATGAAATGTTTAACAATGTCTCTCAGTCGAGAGGAGTCGATAGAAGTAACAGAAGATGAAATAATATCATATTTTCTTTGAATATCTATCATATTAATCTGTTGTGACATTTTTTCAGTAAAATGTTATTTTCTTGCGAACGACACTTAGTCAACAGCTCAACTTTTTACCATAGATGCCCAGGTCGAACAGTCCGGCCTGGAAACGGCCGGTTCCGAGTAGTTCCGTTGATTTTGTGGAAGCAGTATTCCGGTTGGAAATTTTTCCGGTGATTTTCGATCAATTTCTGCCGAAAAGCACCGGAACTTGGCAGGAATTCGCCGGAAAAGTCCGGCCGTATTTTTGGCCGGAATACTGCTTCCATGTTCCAGCGATTTCCCGTGTTTTACTGCAGGATATGGTGACTTTCCCGCATATTCCCTGGAGTATCCTACGGGATCCGGGGACCGGAATGTTCGACCTGGGTGTACCATATACTCAGTCAAAAATGGTAAAAAAAATCATTGATTAATCTCTTATAGTTAGTGAGAAATCAAAAAGTCAAAATAAGAAATCGGTCGTGACATTTAGTGCGACAATAGCTACCAATCTGTTTTTATTTTTACTGTTTTGTTTCATCGTGAACATTTTTTAAATTTATTTTTTAATCAAAATATTTCTCGCTCTTTGCTCTATCAAACACGAAAAAGAAATTTGAGTTAGCTTGTAAGTAGTCTTTAGTAGCTACAATTTAATCTGTTTTGACAAAAAATGGTAATGTGTATGTTTTCATATTTTTGCAAGATTTGATCAGGAAATCAAAATCGAAATTAAGATTACTTTATATAGTTAAAAAGAGGAGAACCTGAGCTGGCAACTTCAGCAAAAAAGTCTATTTATCCAGTCAAAATTGTAGGACATAAAAAGGAATTTCTGTCGATAGGTCCTGCCAAACAGCTTTCGTAATGATCTTTTATGCTTGAAAAATCCTTGCCACGCAAATAAAAACCTCGATAATTTTATAGTGAGTAGGACGGACTGAATGGAGCATTTCAACAAAACAATTGTCCAAATCGATTGAGTAGAAGTTGAGTTATAAGATTTTTCGTGTTCGCAGAGCAATCGTATAATGTCAGCGCAATTCACTCATATATGTATATATCCTTTAGGCATACTAAAATAATTCAAAATAGTTCATCTGAAAAATCTACCTTGATTTCCAAAACCTATAATTCGGTCATTGCCTATTTGCTTGTCTGTAATAAAATATTAATTGTTAGTTCGTATATTTAACAGCGGCAGAGATTAGTTTATTTGGTCTGTAATGGGCAAGCATTACTTTTTTCGTGTAGTCCGTCATTAAAAATAGAAGAAATAGTAGCCTAATTAGTCAAGCTTCTAATTAGCACAATCTTAAACTCATTAATGTCTGTAATGGAGAGGGGGTGGAAAGCCGCAAAAATCTCACTTTTAAACTTGCACTAGCCATTTTCTTCGAAAATATATGCGAGCTCCACAAAATCTATAAATCATTCGTTCATTGTTAGTTTTATTAATAAACAGAATAATGACAAATGAATAAAAGAAACTATTTATCTTTATTGACTTGCTAATAAGTTCCATGAACGTTCTTGATATTCATTGCGCAGTTTTTCATATGCTTGTTGCAATGCCATATTATTGATTTCAAATTCTCTTTCACGTTCGATAAATAACGGTTTAATATTATGCAAACTGTTCTCAAGTTCTTGTGATATCTTAGCAAGATCTTTCGAACGTTCTTCATCAGTTAATAAAAGTAAATGTTTTTCAATGCTGGCAGCTTGATCAAGCACATATCGACGTAATATTTCATTATAGATACTTGCTAAATGATGAAGAAAATAAGAATTACTTTCAATGGTATATAAAGCTGGAATAAAGCTTGTAATTTTATCATGAATTGTTAAATTAAATTTTGCTTTAATATCAAGACTCATAATAAGTTCAGGAACATGTTCAAATTGTTTTTTTATTTGGTGAATTATTGTAGATATTTTTTCAAGAAGATTTTTCGAATTGAATTCATTATAAAGCATTAAATCAGTTTTATCCGATGAAAGACCGTTGAATCCTGGTGATGAATTTATTGAATATTGATTGATTTCATTTGAGAAGTTGAGCAGATTAGTTAACTGATCTATAGTTTTAGTGATTAATACCATATTTTCATTGGACAAACGAACCATACTATTCAAAGAAACAGTTAACAGTCGTTGAATCATTGCCGATGGTTCTGTAGTAAGAAGTCGTAATAATGTTTTGATACAATTTGGAACTCTTTCGACAGCAAGTTGAATACGCTGCATTGTTGAGTATGTATCAAAAAATGTTTTATACATATCAGAACTAAACTGAACCATCGTCGTACGATACGATTGAGGATATCGAATATAGTTTACTGTCGAATTTGATGGAATATTAAATGGAAAATCTCGTTCACTAGCCTTAATCAGTAGAGCTGACTGAAAATGAACAAGATGAATAGCGTTAGTAGCCAATTCTTTTGCTAATAATAAACTATTCGATTCTATTTTACATTAAAATAAATAACACAAAAAAATAATAATAAAGGAAGTATTGCTTACGTGGTTTGAACTGAACGTCTTTTATTTCGTTTGCTATCACAATTTTATTCAAAATAGTGATAATCAACATCATGCAAGAAATATAACAAAAGCCTAAAGTCTTGCATTTACATATAAGTAAATAATAGTTAACAATTGATTTATGCTAACCTGTTTGCATTATGTTATAGATTCATAAACAAGCAAAAAATCCAAAAGAATTTATTTTTCGGATACGTAAAAGGACACAATTCTATTAATTTGCTTTTCTATTTCAAGATAGGCTTTAAAAGGAAATTTTCAAAAATGTTTTCGCCGATAAATAGCTGCGAAAAAAAAACAGCTGATATGTGAAAGCATTTTATTTTATATCGTTGAGAATATTCGTAGAATATCAAAATGGTATTGATTCTAGTTTTATTGATATGAGAGACCAACGAGCTTAATTCCATCACTAGCAATTAATTTCGAAGAAAAAATATATATGTAGCTTTGAGTGAGTCGAAATAATTGCAGTTTTCAATATTCTATACATGTGACAATACAAAGAGATTCTATCAAATGGGATTATTGTTTTTTGAACAAGTACACTGTCGAAAGTCTAAAGCAATGTATGCTGGTTATCGGCTACACAATTTCGAGAGATATCAAAAGTCAAATAATATTAAAAGGGGTTCTCGTTTTACTTGAAATACATTCTTCAATAATAATAATAATAATAATAATAATGTCTTCACATCATGTATAGGAATAGTCGAAGTGGAAAATATATAATTGCCATTATGTTATTCAATTGAATGAAGTCATCTCTGAAGAAAAAAACTCGATCACGTAGGGAGTATAATTGCAATGAGATTTTTTGTATGCTTCATTTATTTATTTTTTCATCAAATTTTCTAGGCGGTGACCTCTGATCATCAAGGTTCTTATTGACATGGTCTCATAGAGAATATTACAATGGGTTTATTTAGGTCCGATGAATCGAAGGTCACGAATCTTTTCGTATAGTACTTAAGATTTCTATAGGTTTCTTTTTTCTCTTTATGATAATGAACAATAATGGTATTAGAGAGATCTTCATCTTTGTTAACTATGAAAATTTCATCAGTTTCATTCAAAAGATCCTTTCCTATGGATTACTTAGTAGAGGTGAATAGACTTCTTCAAATATAAAAGTTTAGCAACGGACGAGCTCAAACAGTGAGACATATTCAACAAATCGTAATATATTGTATTATGACATATCGTCTTTCTACTAGTCTATTCAATGACATTTCTCATCATTGCGATCTATGTGTTGTACTCTCCATACATACGGAATTATTAATCGATATATTTATAGAACCGAGTGAGTGTCCCCTAGTAAACAAACGTCAAAGCTTCAGATAGAAATTCGAGCTGAGAAGAACCCACGCACTTGTCAAACAAAAAAACTAATTTGATCAGTGAACTCTGAAAGAATAAAGTTCATCAACAAAAGAAACCATATACAACCAAAAATTGAATAACTATTCAAATTTTGAATAAATAAATAGAAAAATATTTTTCATGCTTTTTGTTTTCTACATAAAATCAATAGATGATTTAAAAAGATTTTGTTTTTTATCCATTCGATTTTGATTTAAATCTAACAATTGTCTAACTTCATCGGTGACTAACATTTTATAATCCCATATTTCGTGTGGTCCTGTTTGCGATGGAATAGGTTTACGTCTTAGTCGTCCTGACCCTTGACTTGCACTGAAAGAATTGGTTGAATTTATTTGATTTGTAGATGATTGAATTAATTTTGGAAGAACAATTTTCGTTGTTGGTGATGGTTCAGTTTGATTTTGAACTGTTAAAAAGAGTAACCTATCATACATTTCTAAGAAGCCTTGGTGATATTTAAAATATGTTTCATTTAATTGTCTTAGTCCATCAGCAATCTAATAAAATACATTTCAAAAAAAGAAAAGAAGTGAACAAGAATTTTTTATTTTTCTACCTGTTTTTGATTATTTAATGTTAATGGATAAAATGTTCGATGAATCAATAAATTAAACCAATTTAATTTTTGTAGGCTGAATTTAATTGTTTCAACTTCCCATAAAAGCTCAAGGCCTCTTTTTCTTTCACGATGCAACTGTTCAATAAGACGTGCGCTATGTGTATCTGCATTATACCAACTCGATATTACTTCAATTGGTAGTGGTAACGTATTTATATTTGGTTCACGATGAGTAATAATAAGTTTGCCATCTTTTGCTAATGATTTTCGTAATATATTTATATATGACATCACTGAACTGTTAGAACTAGCATTTGTACGTTGACTTTCAGTTTGAACATCGTCATTTGTTGAAGAATTGCTTATTTGATGAAGACAATTCAGTAGAATTATTCGATCAAATGCATTTGCTGTTAATTGTTCTTTGATTGCGCCTGAATAAAAAAAACAATTATTCTATGTACCAGAAAAAGTTCAAAATAATTATCTAAATTAGACCCTCACACTAGGGTACGAATTATTTTCCATTAATCTTAATAAAATCTGTAATCATATTATAGTTGATATTTCAATTATAATATCTATTTAATTCGGGAGCTAGAAACATAACAGATAGTTGTAGGATTCTTTTGAATCTCATCTTGTTGAGAATAACGCTTTAATTTCAAGAAATTTTCTCTGTAATATGATAGAAATCGATCATAGAGAATATGTCGTCATCAATTTTCTTTTCTTTTTAATACGTGTTCTGTCTGAGTATTTTTTTATGTCAATATTTTGATGGCAATCGTTATAAAAAAAAAAAAAGAAAAAAGAAACGAGCTAGTCAATATAAGTTGACAACGTGAAATGTTTTTTGATGAAATATAGTATGAAGAGGGACAAGATAAGTATAAGAAGAAAAAAAGAATAATAACATTGTAAAGATTTCGCTTTGTGTAGAAAATATCTTACAAGATAGTTAGGAGAAAAAAAAAGAATCGATACCAACGGGACGAATCACATTGAACAAAACTATAGGCAGATATAGCGTATAAATATTTTCTTAAATGGTTAATTAGTAGAATGAATCTGATAAATATTGAAGTTCGGTTGAATGACATAACAAATAAGAATGGTATTGCATAGGTAATATTTGAATTAAATATCAAATTTGATGAAAAAATAATGATTGTTTCATTTCAAATGCTTCGTTAAATGTACCGAAGAGTAGTAATTTTATTCAATCTTAACGCAATGCATTTGATTTATTTTCTGTCATTTGAATATTTTTGTTCGGTAACAAAAATAAAGTTTTCTCTTATTCATCTGTGAATGCAAAGGATAATTTTTGTTTTGATCAATAGCACTGTTTTATCAGTTGCTAACAAACATTTGGTAAAGAGAAGAAAAAAATAATTCATGTTCTACAACTACTTCCATTAACTTTATAAAAAAAGGGAAAAAATCAATTTGAATAAATTTATTTCATCGAAGTAACCTTCTGACTTACTCTCATATTTCCTTTAGATAAGAGTCGATTGAAGAATGAAAAGAAAAGTTCAATTAAATTTTGAACAGAATTTGTCTTCTACTGATATTACATACCTTGATGCAATTTGCAATCAATGAAATGAACGGGTTTAATAAGAAAAAGTCTTTCTTGAACAATCAACGCCCAATCAGACTCTTCTCCAACTAAACATATACGATCATTACAATTGACTTCAGCATGTTTGGCCAAATAGAAACAGAATTCTCTTTCATATTGTTCACCAAATGGACATTTGCTTACTCTGAATATTCGTTCATTAGTTACAATTGGTAAGCCAGTACGAAAATTGAGCGTTTGAAAATAATGTTCAGCAGCAATAGAAAAAGGTCGTGGACTCTCCGGTGCTAGATACGATGTCATTTTTCTTTTTCGTACTCTCAAAAAACGATAAGAATGAAGGTAGTAAGTTTAAAAGAGAATTCAATTTTTCTCTTGCTTCTTTACCTCTCAAATAGAACCCACATTACTTTCCATTTTTTCTCTTTCTCTCATTTTTTCTCCTTTTTTTGTCGGTCGTGTTGATGATGATCAGCAGCCACATCATACATTGTAAACTCAGGATGTCATAAATAAAATAAAAAGAAACTGCAGACAGCCAGTTAAATAACTTCGAGCTATAATAATAATTTATTATTTTTTCTTTTAATTTTGTATTTGAAGAAAATAACACCAATACAAAATATTAAAAAGAGCAAAACTAAGCGGAAAAGCAACGCGAGCGAAACCATCTAATCTACTACGACTATTTATACCAAAACGAGATGCACGTTTACGTAGCTCACGTTTATGACTATCATTGCCTGATACACAAAACCAAAATTGAGCTAAATAGTATCGAATACTTTCTGAACATTGTTTTCGTTCTCGTCGAGGTTTTTTTTCAAGCGTATTTTGATAACGCGGATAGTAAACAGATGAACGTGCAGGGAGATTTCGATTTCTTGGAGGATCATTTTCATCGATTAATACACTATCGATTGAATCATGATAGCTCATAAGTGGTTCACCATAACTAAACTAAATTAAATAGAATTATTTTCTTCCAAGAAAGATCATCGAAATCAATTTCAACCTTAGTAAAATAATGAACAAAAGCAAATTGAAGTAATGATGCAAGTAAAAAACCATATGCCATAATAACAAACCAATCGAGTGCTGTTAGATAGGAAACAGCAGCTGTATAATTTCGTATATCAAAACTTAACGTTGCTAAACTGAGAAAAGTCATTACACCAATATTGACTCGATCGGCTGTTGCTTCACGATGAATAAAAAATGACACCCATGATAACATAACTAACATTGAACTTGGAATATATACTTGCAAAATGTAATAGCCCATATGTCGTTTAAGAACAAAATCAACACGAAGCACAGAAAAACTACCTGTATAATCACTTGTTGCATTACAAATATAATACAATGAAAACTCATCATGATTTTCTAAGTGTATAATGATATTGTTTTTCATGTCAATTGTAATTTTAGAACAGCAAACAATAGTAAAGAATGATATTATTTATTTTAAAAAAATCTAATATATTGTTAGTGTCTATCCCTGCAGCGAAACGAGATTTCCCCTATGAGTCGCTTATTACCCTTATAGTATGTTGCATAGGATCAACATTGATTGTTTCGACTCTTTCTCTCTCTCTCTCTCGAATGAAATCTATACACATTGACAAAACTCAATTACACAAAGAAATACTCTGAGACGGAAAGTTTACAAATAAATTGTCACTTCTCAATATACAGCATATGCAAGATTTCAACCAAGGTAATGCATGAAAATGTTCCGAAATTTCATCTTTTCTTTAGGCAGACCTTGATCGCTTTTAATCCAAACTTTCCTATCTTTAAAAACAAGTACATACGTCCATTCATATCAACACTTTCATCATACTGTGGATATTTAATCAGATCAAATTGTGATAATACAACTTTTGTATCAAAAGAAACACTCGCATTATTTCCTAAACGCCAACCATATTGAATATCTGATGCTGGATTCGCAACTAAAAATCAACCCAAAAAAAACAATTGATCACGATTCAGCCTAATAATTAATTCTTACAGCTTCCAATAAGAAATTTACAAATTTGTATATCGACTGGAAAATTTTTCAAATTCATATTACATCTTGCTTTGACTGTTATTCTATTGCGAGTCAAAATTATCGATGTAAATAATCAAGTTTTTTTTATCATTTAAATTACCTTGATGAATACCATATGGAACCATCAGGGAACAATCGCCATAGACGATTACTGGTTGGTATTGTATGTAAATAGGAATACTTCGAATTATAAAAAATTGTGTCCGGTCTCCAGAGTCGTTCAAGCATACGTGTCGATAATGAAAGTACACCAACTTCTTCAGCAAATTGAAGACGTTCATCACGCCACCGTTGACGAAAATAACAATTCATTGTAAATGACTAAATTTACCGATATGAAAATAAATCGAAATGTTCTACTTCATTTATAAATACAAACCATGTCCATATCTTGAATAGGTCCAAAAGAACTCACTAAGATATCAAAATTTATTTTCGTTGGACCTTCTGAATAATAAAAATGATTCAGAAACGAATACAATTATAGTTTTCGTTGTTCTACCTCCAAAATTTGGTCGAACATGTGCATCATAATTTTCCAATAGTCCATCAAGAATTGTTGTGATTTGGCGTGCACGTCGCGATGCAACTGTTGAATTATCATTTTCCGACGTATTATTATCGAATAATTGTGCTGAACTCGTTATAAACATAAATAATATACATTTTGCTATATTAACGATCATTTTACACTCAAGTAAAAAGATGGATCCAATGCTTTATCTATCTTATCTATTCATATACATATATATTAATGATTCCTACATCGACTGTTATTAACAGCTGTAGCCTAAAGCAGTTCATCACAGAAAACATGCACAGCAAACTAGTTTTCAGTGCCTTAAATAAAAAATAATTACATGCATCGATGGATCTCATCACTGTTTAATCGAGAAAAATTTTCTATCGATATCTTCGAAGAAAAAAATATTTATTATTAAATAATCAAAATAACTAACTCGATCGATCAGATAAAATGATCGATACCCTAAAATAAGATTTGCGTGTTGATGTAATCATCGATCAATCAGGAAAGAAATTCCTCGTAGAAATGATTCATTAGTCAAGCTCAGTTCGATGATGTCATTGAGTAAGAGCAAAACCTATGCATGAGCATTTATTTTCATATCTGATTATTTTCATTGATTTGCATAGAAAAAAATTAAAATAAAATAAACATTCAAAAAGAGAATGTTTTTATCACACAGGCAATTTTTCTAATCTATTTGGAGTTGATTTTAACCAATACCATCGTCCATAGTCGGCAAAAATTTCTTCGCCTGCCGCTATATCTCGTTTAGCAATAACATATGCACATTGCTCTTCAGGACGTTTATCGAATGTAACATTTTGCAATAGACGATTACGTGGATCATTTATATATCTTCCAAGTACGGTTTTATCATCAAATGGATCAACATAAACTTGTGGTCCAAGCCGCATTAAATAAGCTTTATCTTTGAGACGTATGGCCTCAACGGTACGGAGTACTTTGCCACTATAGATACACACACATGAGCCTTTGGCAATTGGCGTTCGAGTGAATAAACCAAAGCCAGCACCTAGATATAAAATTATGTTTGTTTTTTATGCACGATATTTATTATTATAAATAATAGTGGTATCTAGAAAATGTTTCATGAAAATACTTTTTTAATTCGTACATAAAAACAAAAATGACCGTTTTAATAGGAGAATAATTTATTTATCGCTAGAGGTCTTTTAATTGCTTTAGAAACAGTAGACTCATGATGACGTAATTTCATAAAAATAATTACATCAATGGCAAGATATAGAGTAAAAACGTTTTTCAACAGCATAGTTGGACTCTTTTATTGTAGTCCTAGCGCTAGCTGTATAACTATTCTTTCCATAAAAAAACAAATTTATTTTTTAAGCCAAGGCTGTCCTTGCATTTGTTATCTTTCAGCTAGAAGTCATAATAGATAACTCAACGACATCTCATACTGAAAGTACTTATTGCGTCTATTATTCTACGTAGTGAGAAAGATAAATTATAATTCGAGACTTGATGTACGCAGAAACTATCCATAGAATGTCGTGGAGGATGCGCCTGTGAGAATTCACCATTGACTTTTTTCATATATTCTTCTCTCCTTGATTAGAAAAACAGGAAAAAATTTGAAAGTCAGCCTTGTGAAATTATTTATTAGTGACTATATATATATATATATATATATACCTTCTATCTGCGATGATTTAACTTCAAGGTCGGCCATTAGATCTAGAAAATATGTCAGAAAAGCATTTATTGTTTTATAAACAGAGAACTTAATCATTCTTATGAAATGAGCACCGGATTGCAAGATAAATTATAAATCATTATAGAGAAGCGTCCTTTACGTACCAAACTATAGTGTCAAAAAGAAAACATTTTAATTCATTGGAAGAATGTTTTCTTTCTAGAAATGAATGAATGCCAACGAAAAATTCTCCTTTCATTAGAATTGGAAAGATTGTCAAGCTTGAAAACAATCTTATTTAAAATAGAAACAATTTAATAAATTTACTTTTTTCCAATTTTTAATTTTTGAAGAATATTTTTCAAAACGCACATCACAAAACGACTACAACAATAAACATAAAAAAAGAGATATCAGAATAGAATATAAAATGATGCTTTCCGACAAACCAGACAACAGCGAACAATTCGTCCACCGGTGCACATACACAATAAAAAAATTTTGATTCCCTAATATAATGTAATTGTTGATCGCATTGTTTTTTCGACATTTACTAGCATTAATTTAATTCATTTTTTTAACATGTTGACTCGTTTCTTTTTCTTCTTGATGTTGTTTACCATTCTGTTGATTTGCACGTTTCGATTTAAAAATGTACGAACCAAGAAAAAAGTGACCAAATAGTAGAAAATAGGTCGCGTACATAATTAATGATACTTTCAAATTTTCGTCTGTGACTTGACAGACTTCACCATTTTTCTTATATTGCCATGCTTGTAAATTAATCAAACAACCAACTATCATTTGAGTTAATTGAAGCATCGTGATGATCATTGATACCCAACGTGGTATACAAACTTTGAGCGCACGTAATGCATAGTACTAGAATAAAAAGTTTTTAGAAATAATTTTTTTTCTTAATAAGTATAATAACATACAGAATACATTATACCATGAACAACATAATTCAAACCACAAAACCATCTAAAACAAATCGAATAGAAATATATATATATATATATCATTTTAATTTCATTTAATTATATACCGTCCAGTGGAACTATAATCTTGATAGCTAAACCAGCAATAAATTAAAACTGATGCATGATGATACCAATGGAGAAAAATCAAGGGTTGTTTACGAAGCACGATAAACACTGTGTCAATCAATTCAGGTAATTTCGAAAAACAAAATGCCCAAGTCCTATAAAGAAGCGATGATTAACAAATATTATTGTTTTCTTTTCTTTTCTTTTCTTTTCTTTTCTTTTCTAGACTCATACCAAAAGCCGACAACACCAAATGCATTTGAATTATTACAAATCGAGTATTTGATACCATGTCTATAAATAACATAAATTAATTCCGGTACTACTCTCATTGCTCCAAAAACTGAAAATAATGCCAATAACGTATTCCATGCTGCTAGCCATAAACGTAGTTCAAATCGAGGCTTATTTTTCATAAAAAATTGACCTGCTACAAATGAGAAATATGTTGTTTTATTTTAACGGATATTATTCATAATTTAAATAGCCTACTATAAATTAAAAGTAAATATGCAAGTGCATAGAAAAAACTATTATGCCAACGTTGGATCATAAATGTCCGTAAATCTCGTAATGTTGCCACTTCATCGCTATATCGTTCGAAATCAAATACATAAAATGTAAGTGGAATTTTATTGTTCGATGCTGAAACATCATGAGATTGAGATGTCGATTGTGAGGCAGCTGTTAATGAACTATTAAATTGCTCAAAATAATCCGAGATGTGTGACATGATGGTAACCATTTTCGATGTTATAAAAGCACACACCCACAATATCTACAAAAAAAAATAAATATCTACATATGATAATATATCTACAAAGGAAATGACAAAATAACATAGAAAAAAATATTTGTTAAAACCTTAATGGAGAGTCGCTCCAAATATGATTAAGAGGTTAAAAAAGAAACTTTTTTTTTTCTCTATGAAATAGATTGTTCTTTATTTTTTTTTCTAAGCAAATATCTCAATTTTTATCTTGTCTTTTTCTTTTTTACTACGTTCTTTTACAAATACTTGAGAATAACGTACGTCAACTTAATAAACGCTTTTATCTGAATGAAATTTCTATCTATATGCCGGTTAACAGAGAGTAAAGGTCTGAAATTTTTTCATCTAGAGGACAAAGGAAAAAAAATTCTGCCGAAAGAGGTCGTATCCTATTTATGAATAGAAGAAGCTCATGTTGATGACGGTATACAAGATAATATGAGATACTAAAGTCATGCATTTTATTGTATATACACCGCAATAAAAGCGAATTGCATAAAGGAGATATAAACGAAACATTCTTTTTTTTTAATTTCTAGTTGCGAGTCAATGATATTTTTTTGCCCTTCATAGGTTTGCCTATATATATAACCGCTCCTTTTTTCTTTTGTATATCGTAGCTAAGAAACAAAGCAATCCTGGTTGCTTTCGCTCGTTTACTGCTCACTAGGTAACAAAAATGGAAAGTAAATAAAATTCTATTAATATTTCAGTTAAATAATCATGACGCTATTCGCCGGGGGGGGGGGGGGGGGGGGGGGGGGGGGGGGGGGGGGGGGGGGGGGGGGGGGGGGGGGGGGGGGGGGGGGGGGGGGGGGGGGGGGGGGNCCCGTTGGAACTTTCTATCGGTATATTACCTTATTTCTCATGTACTTGAGATTTCGTACCAAATCAGGATGAAGAAAAAAGAAGATATAAAACTGTATTTCCGATCATTTATTACAATATTTTATAAAGTGATACGACAAGAAAAATAGTAAAACACTAAAACAGAAATTTGTACTCATGTAGCATACTTTTTTGTCCAATTTCGAGCTGTCTAAAGCATGAATAATTGAATAAAAAAATAGTTCAAGTGTAACGTTTTATTATCTTACGGCATTATATCCGTCCCGGTCATGTTTATATTGTCTTGCTATTTCTGGTACAAGTGGATCCTGACAATTATATAATAAAACATGATGTAGTAAAATAAATACAAAGAAAAATATAGATACATCTGGATTTGGATCACAAAGTAATGAGCAAATCGATAATAAAACTTTTGAAATAGTTAATGCTGGTGACCAATTACTGCGGAGAATATCAAGGCAAATTGAACCATTCGTATTGATGTTTGGGTGATAGATTTTCGTTGTGAAACTGAATCAATGAAGAATTAAATTTTACTAGAAAAGCAAGAAAACAATAGACGAACTGAATATGTGGTGGTTTAAATGGATAATCCGATGGAAAAGTAATTGCAAGAAAAAATACACCGGATTGGTATGGTGAATCACCTAGTAGATAAATAATTACAAATCACCAGATGGAATTTCTATGCATACTAGGACCAAGAATAGTTGCTTGCCAATTATACATGTCGCTTGAGTGAATCTAAAAATAGAAGATTTATATAATTACGACTAAAATAAACTTTCTTACTGGTCCAGCACTGACATTAGCTGGTGGTTCACGTTGCAAATCTTGCAATTCTTTCGAAATACGGTTAAGTGCCATAGTATTCTTGTGAATGCAAATCCAAGTGAAATCTAATTTCAAAAGTCCATAGTGAAAATTTTCCAGTGTATCAGATTATCTTGATAATTAATTCCTTTTTTGTCAAGTATCGATGGTGACTAAGCTGAAGGATTTTTTTCTGTTCCTACGCATATAAATTTAATCTGAGAACAGAAGTATTGAGAACTAATTCCAAGTGTAAGAATTACATTTTCATTCTGTGGAACACTCATTAAAATACAGACAACTCTTAAAGTTTTACTACTTATGGCTCTTCATGCTCGGCATAGAGAGTTGACGTAAGGAGAAAGAAAAACGAGGCTTTAAATTTTCTTCCATTATTATTTATATCTAATCGTGATCATGCAGGCTCCATATTAACAAAAGAAAAGAGATTGAAATCATACTATTCATTTATTTCCACACAGTTGCATTTCTCTTTTCTAAATCTATTGTGTATGAATAGTCTACGCACGAGTACCAAACGATATGCATTGCCATCATTTGCTTCTCTTTCGATGTGTTTCTTTTAGCTATGTAGACAGATTTTCAGTGTGCAATTGGATCAACTGTTCTATGATATTAGAATGTGTATCAGATTTCATGTGCTGTGCATAGGTTTGTATTACTAGCAGCTTACTTTTACCTCGTTTCTGATTCAAGTATGATACGATTCTGTTTTTCTCACAAAATTAATAAAGCTACTCGAGACAACAGCAAAAGTAGTACTTCGGCAAGCGACGGGGATACAATGGAAAAAAGGCGATAATGATAAAAAAAATACTTTTTTTAAAGTTCACTAGAGATAGAATGGGAACTTTTCCACTTAGAAGAGGAGCTTTTACAAGCGCGAGGTAATCATAAACAACGTCACATCTTCATCTAGCACAAGCTAGGTTCCTGGTTGATTGCTATTATGTTTTCTTCAATTTCATAATAGAATCTAATAAATAAAGAATAGGCTCATAATTTTAATAAAATAATTCTTTTGCTAAACTTCTAGTCCACAAATTTCAACGTAATAGCTATATTCAGTTTAGGAAGAAAATAAGAAACAATTTTTTTTTCCTCTTCAACTTAATTATAATTTTAACATGAAGATTTATCCACACGAGTAGTTTTATGACTTTTTATTTTAGTATGACTAAATTTCTCAAATCAAACGGTACTACTAATAACTGTGAAACAGTTGGAATGCTTACCTGAAAAGATTCCTTATTTTATTTTTACTCATTTTATTTCAAATTAAAAAATACATTTCATTTAATTAGACGCCTGTTTTTCGTTAAGTTCATCAATTGCAGAAACTATACTTCTTGACGATTTTTCTTTGGTTACTAAGCATAAAAAACACATGATTGTGTTGAACAATCAATAGTGTATTTTAAAAAACCCTAGGTAAGTAGATTTATCTTGTTAACATAAATCAACGCTGAACATAGACTACATTTGTTCAATAAATAATGCTTTTTAAAATATCACAAAAAAAAATGAAAAACTGTTGTGATAAATGTAAATATCTTTTCAAACTAAATACATGAAATACTTTCGTAATCTCATTTTCATTCAAGATCACCCAGCAAGATTCAATGACGTTGTAAATCGTTATAAACAAAAATGTTTATTAAGCAACAACCTTTGAGTGCAAGAACTTTCAATTATTAGAATCATAACGTCATCTTAAAGCAACTGAGTGATCTTAAAGATTTTCTCAAGTTTTCAGAGCAGTGCGTTATTGGAGATCATTATAATGGTAAATAGCTTATGAGAATTTTCAAGGTTCACTCAATCAAAAGGAAAATAGGTAATGATTAATATTTTATGTTCTCCTATAAAGTCATTATGTCTACATACCACGCCAAAATATTTCCATCGTAGTAATTATTTATTTCTCATATTGTCTGTTGTTGAAATCTTATCAATTTTTACCGGCAACGGCTCATCTCCCTATATGATTGAATTTTTGAAAAAGGCTACGAATCAACAGTCTATTTTTTTTTCTTAGGCCTAATTCAATGTTGAATAAGATGCATACTAGTGACTCTAAATCGATTATAACATAGAAGTCAAATATTTGTGTATGACTTGTCGCAGAAATTTTTCGAGAATTCGGCGGCTAAGATTGCATTTGTCATTTTTCTTTCTTGCTGTTCGAAAACAAGCTCGGAACTGCAACAGGCTATACCCGTTCGTGTCCAGACCGATCCATCTCAAGCAACAAATAACGACATGACTTTTTCCTGTGTCCTAATTCATAAAAAATAGAGATCAATTTATGAAGCCGTTGGTTCTTGCAAATCTTAATTAAGCTCTCTCGAAATATTATGAAGGCTTTAAAAAAATAAGATTATCAATGGAATACATCTTTCATCCATTTGTATCAATAATTGGAAAGAGAAAAAAAAACAGACTTATTAAATATGCGTAAAATCTCAATATGAATAGTTGATGTATGTGGCATGTTTTGCACGAGGATATCATGCTATAGTTTTACTAATAAATCACACGTTTTACAGAGCGGAATTGTGACAGCAGCACTGGTTTTCAATGCAAATTACGTAGTCTTTCTTGAATCACGATGTTAAAAGGTCCTAACAGAATAAATTAAAAATAAAACATTATATTACACTCAAAATCGCGTTATTTCTTTGCTACATTGCATATTTCGTAATAACTGACGACAACAACATCAAGTACACTCATCAAAGATCTTACGTAAATGTTGGATTTTATAATGAATTTACTTCAGATAAAATGAACTTCTGAAAAATCTATCGACATAAAAAAAAGAGAACAGATTAAATTTAATAGATGCATTATAGAATCTTCAAGAAACATCCCGTGCAAAGTCCAAATGTAGTTAGTCATGAATAAGACGTCTTGCAAATATTTTTGCTGCTACTACTGTTTTTTTCTTCTTCCTTGTTGTTTCCTCTGTAACCCGATGATTCAAAGCAGTCTGTTTTTTTTCCTTTTTTTCTGTCTTGAATAGTTAGTTAGTAAGAGCAGTACACAGCAAATTTTCGTTGAATTTGTTTAATCATAAAGAAAATGACGAGAAAGTGTAGCAGACAAAAGGCAGTAAACACACAGATAGACAGAGAGCAGAAGAAGAGCTTGGTGCCGAACAGAAAAAAGAATAAAAAAAATTGAAGAACATAGATAATATTCGTCAAACAAAAATAAAAAACCATGACAAAATCAAATCTTTGCACTCAATTTTTTTTTCTTACGTCTATTTGTTGTTATTTTTGCTCATCTTTCGTTAAATACACACAAGCATCGTACATACATATAGATACACTCGAACAAAGTGGCGACAAGAGAAAAAACATGAAAAGATGGTAATAAATGAACCTTACGTCTGTTCATTTTCATTCAACACAAAGAAAAAAAAGAGCTTAAAAAGAAAAGAAATGTGCTGCTGTTGATTGAATGTTCACTTTTACCTACATGGCATATTTTTGAGTCCATTGTCGCGCCGTCTAAATCCAAAAAAAAAAACTGTTTAATTTGACCCAAAAATATTTCATACTGCATTATATTTCTCCTTGTCAGTTTTGTATGTACGTGCGATATCGGGCACTAATGGATCCTACAAAAAAAAGAAAAGATTTGAATTAGAATATAAAATTTCGTAATATTTTTCTTTTATTTCTTACATCAGGATTTGGATCACAAAGTAATGAACAAATTGAGAGTAATACTTTCGAAATAGTTAATGCTGGTGACCATTGTGAGCGTAGTATATCAAGACAAATAGCTCCATTTGAATTTATATTTGGATGAAAAATTTTTGTTGTAAATCTAAGAACAAGTTTCTAAATTTAATAAAGAAAGAACATGTATTTAGCCCGTTATATACGTGATTTTTGGAGGTTTGAATGGATAATCGGCCGGAAAATGAATTGCAAGAAAGAATACACCGCCTTGAAATGGACTATCACCCGGTCCCATTATTGTTGCCTGCCGTAAAACAAGAAGGCAATCATAGAATTAATTATTTAGTAAAAACGAAAAAGAAACACTTATAATGAAACATGTCATCATTGACTGGGCCAGCACTACAATTTGCTGGTGGACTAAAATGAACAAGAAACCATAATTCAAAGATCAATCTTATTGTTATAAATTACTCTTTTTCAAGCTCAAGTAATTCTTTGTTAATACGTTTCAACGCCATGCTACGAGACGAAATCAAAAACCGATACGGCGCGCGATTAGGCCGATAGTTGAATTTATTTTTGAATATATTATAATCTAGAGGACAAAAGAATTTTAATATAAACATGATAAATTTTCAAGCAGTGGGCAGTAAGACCATAATAAAGACGAAATGCGAAGAAGAAAGGATTGTCATAAGTATTTTGGTAGAGGCAAACGCTAATTCGCCCGTGACACGATGTAATGTTAAAAGAAAAAGGAGAAAAAAAAACGACGGCATAGACGACGATACGGGGGCAGTGGGGTGATAAAGAAAAAGAAAAAAATCATTGAATCACTCTAATGGGGCGTTTCACATCAAATGATTGGATATTGAACTGAAAAGAAAGCTATGTATCAAAACCAATGAAATAAAATAACTAATTTTAATTAATTTTTAAAAATTTTCAAGCATTAAAATATTATTTGAGTAGAGGAAAACACAAGTTGAATAGAAAATAAACTATTCAGATTAGCTCATTTTCATAATTGACTTTTAATTTGAGCCTCAACTCACTGAGACATGATCAGAAAATGAATGAAGACTCGAATCAGCTAGTCACTTTTCTTCCTATTCCGTCTTCTGTTTCTCTTTTGTCATTGTGAATTCATTTCACAAACAAATATCAGGCGCGTAGTAAACACACGTGATTCCCATTGCAGGTAGCGACAATAATAAAATGAAAACGAATTGCTTGAAAATTTTGTATACTATGTAGCAAAAAGATATTTTTTTGCAATGAAAAACATGATTCTGAGAAATTAATACATTCCGTAATGGAGGAATATAGGAAAGCAGAATGAACTGTGCCAATGACGTCATCGACAACAGGCAATAGCTCAGCTGTTATTTGTTGTTTCGCTGTTCTTGATCTTTGATCGAACAGTAAAATATACAAAAACTCGAACACGGATGTTTATTTAAATAGTACTTCTTCAGAGAGTTCATTTTAGATGGAACGAATTGTTTCGGCACTTACTCGACCATCGGTCGGATCAATTCGATGTATGCCTCAGTTCAAACTAGCTACTCGTGGTGGGCATCGAGCTCATCCAGAATCATTTCTTAATGCATCTTCATCAAATTATATTGATGAAATGTATGAGCAATGGTCGAAAGATCCTCAATCAGTACATAAAGTATGTATTGAAATAATTTAATCAAAATAAGAATAGTAGTCAATTTTATTTCCTTATGTTGTATTCTAGTCGTGGGATCTTTATTTTCGTCATCAACATTATCAACGACCTCCAACATTAGGTGTAACTCCGCCACCACCAGCTCTGTTACAATATTATCAAATGACAGGTTTCACTCAACAACAACCAGTGTCTATGGTACCTCAACATCAATCCCATTTACAACCAATGAGTGGATATGGCACTGGTGTTCAAGAGCTGCCACTTGACAGAAAAGCTATACAAGATCATATGGCCGTACAAGCACTTGTACGATCTTATCAGGTCAGTATATCAATTGTTTCTTCTTTTCTTGTTTAATTCTATAATTACATATTCCAACAAAGCAAAAATAAATAATAATTATCTCATGAATATCCTGTTACAGATGCGTGGTCACAAAATAGCACAACTTGATCCACTTGGTCTTTCATCGGTTGATCTTGATTCCGAGAGACCCAATGATTTAACATATACATTTTATAATTTTAGTAAGAATTCAAAAAGTGAACAATCAAATATCATTAGTTGAGATCAATTCTTTGAATATCTATAAAAATGGGAAAAAAACAAGAGAAAAAAATTATTTTAATTTCAGCTTTACGGACACCACGAAGCTAAACTGGATCCACTGGGTATACTTGACGCTGATCTATCCGGCGAACAACCTGAAGGGTTAAAACTATCTTCACATAATTTGAGTAAGAATTATGAGTTTGAATAAAAATCCCAGAAAAATAACGCTTCCAGCACGCTTGTTTTGTGTTTTGATCATAGCCTAGAATTTGATCTCAACTACAGATATGTTTTCTGTGTGAATGAATATTTCTTTTAAAACTAAGAATACATTGTTTCTATTCTTTGAAACTAAGGTGAAGCTGATCTTGATCGAAAATTTGCTCTTCCGCCTATAACATTCATAGGTGGTCAAGAAAAAGAACTTACGTTACGTGAAATTATACGACGATTAGAAGTATGTGTGAAATAATCTATGTCATTTTTTCTTTTATTTTCATTAAGTATCATTAATTTTTCTATAGGATGTTTACTGTCAAACGATTGGTCTTGAATATATGTATATAAATAGCTATGAAAAATGCAATTGGATTCGACAAAGATTTGAAGATCAAGCACAAAGAAAACTCGGTGTTAAAGATATTGAACGTGCTGTAAAACGACTCATTCGAGCATCAAAGTATGTTGAAAAGAACAGAAATTATTTACTTTCTAACAAAGAATCTCTTTTTCAAATTAGATTTGAAGATTATTTAAAAAGAAAATGGAGTTCAGAAAAACGTTTTGGTCTGGAAGGATGTGAAGCTTTAATACCAGCAATGAAGATGGTTATTGATACAGCTGCTAATCAAGGTGTTGATACTGTCATTATGGGCATGCCACATCGGTATGATAGAAATCTTTTATTTGGATTACACATAATTTTATTGTTTCGACTAATTTAGTGGTCGTCTTAATGTACTTGCAAATGTAACACGTAAACCATTAGAAGAATTATTTTGTCAATTTGATCCAAAATTAGAACCATCCGATGTTTCGGTCAGTATAAACGATATGAGAACTTTTTTTTCAAAAAGAAAAACAAAACATTTTGATATTGTTGAAATAAGAAAATGCAATATAAATCATATATTAACGTAAGTTCTTCCTTATTCAATTTCATTTTCCCTTCGATGTTGCGCGTCATTTTACACTCGTCAATAATAATGACGAAATCATTTTTTGGACACCTAATCCCAGTTAAACCATCGTCATGTTTCGTCGACAATATTCTTATATCTATCTACTCATTGATATTTATTGATATTATTGTACACTAAATTATTTAGGGAAGTGGTGACGTTAAATATCATTTGGGTACATGCATTGAACGTTTAAATCGCGCATCAAACACCAATGTAAAATTTGCTCTTGTTGCCAATCCATCACATTTAGAAGGTAAAAAGCGAACAGAAGAATATTTTCTAAAAGGTAAAACTTCCGTGTTTCTTTTTATCGTTTTTTAATAGCTGTTGATCCTGTTGTGCAAGGCAAAACTCGAGCAGAACAATTTTATCGTGGTGATAAATTTGGCGATAAAGCCATGAGTATCTTGTTGCATGGTGATGCAGCATTTGCTGGACAAGGTGTTGTCTATGAAACATTTCACTTGAGTGATTTACCAGCTTATACAACACATGGTACTATTCATATAATTTGTAATAATCAAGTAAGATTTTTCTTTTTTTAAATATTAGATGAATTCTTGGAAATTTTAGATTGGTTTTACTACCGATCCACGTATGGCTCGTTCAAGTCCTTATTGTACTGATGTAGCACGAGTCGTTAATGCTCCTATATTTCACGTGAATGCTGATGATGTTGACTCAGTTTTACATGTTGCTAAAGTAGCTGCAGAATGGCGATGTACATTTAAAAAAGATGTCGTAATTGATCTGGTATGTTATCTTTAAATGATCGTTTAGAGAATGAAAATTATATTTTTAGGTTTGCTACCGTCGACACGGTCATAACGAAACTGATGAACCCATGTATACCCAACCATTCATGTTCGTATAAAACAAGTTTCAATTGTGTTTTTGTTTTTTCGAAATTTTCCTTTAACTTTGTTTAGGTATAAAAAGATTCATAAACAACCTCCAGTTTTGAAAAAATGGGTTGATAAATTGATCAGCGAAGGAACTATTAAACGTGAATGGTATGAAGTATGTATCAATATATTGAAATAATTATTTATCAATATATATAATGAAATATTCTAGGCTGAAGAAGCGAAGTATGACAAGATTCTCAATGATGCTTTCACTAATTCGAAGAGTCCAGCCTATGCTAAAGATAAAAATTGGCTTGACTCGCCATGGAAAAATTTCTTCACTGGAAAAGGTCCTTTTCCATATCCACAAACTGGAGTAGCCGAAGAAACATTACAAAACATTGCTGTTAAAACTCATCAATTACCCGACGGTTTCGTTCTTCATCGCGGTCTGACACGTATTTTTGAAGGTCGTAATAAGTTGATACAAGCGCGCGAAGTCGACTGGGCATTAGCCGAATCTATGGCCATAGGTAGTGTTTTATTAGATGGTCACCATGTTCGCCTTAGTGGACAAGATGTTGAACGTGGAACATTTTCTCATCGTCATCATGTTTTACATGATCAAGAAAAAGATCTTGTTTTTCATGTACCTATGAATTATCTTAGTCCAACACAAGGTCATTATACAATATGTAACAGTTCATTATCAGAATTTGCTGCCTTGGGTTTTGAACTTGGATATTCAACAACAAATCCAAATTCACTTGTAATTTGGGAAGCACAGTTTGGTAGGAAACAAAATTTTAGAAAAGTTTTAGATTTATTTATTATAAATTTAGGTGATTTCGCCAACAATGCTCAATGCATCATAGATCAATTTGTTTGTAGTGGACAAGCTAAATGGGTTCGTCAAAGTGGTATTGTTCTTCTTTTACCTCATGGATATGAAGGACAAGGACCAGAGCATTCATCAGCACGATTAGAACGATTTTTACAGGTAAATTATTGCAAGAAAATTTACAATCTGAAACACGAAAGCAATCTATTATGAATTAACGAAATATGTATTATTAGTGCAGATCTATGCAGAAGATAATTCAACGTTAGCTTTTCCAATAAATTGAGTACATAAATGTTCGAAATGCGAAACTATTGACACACAACTACAGATTATATATCAAAAATGTCTGTGACAGTGTTTGAATAGCATCTGTCATAACTTGTTAAGAGAATGCAAATTTCCAGTCTACATACCTTAACACTTCGTTAGATCGTATTTCACTAGAATATATTTTCTATAGTTAACCTAATTATAAAGGAGAAATATTCCTAATAGGCTTTTCTCAAATATCATCATTGTTAAATAAGACATAAGGTAGATGAGTTTTTAAAAAAAAAATTTGCGCTATTTTTAGCTATGCGATGAAGATGAAGATCGTGTAACTGAAATAAAAGAAAGAAAACATATTCAACATACCGATCTGGCTATGTATCAATTAGATGATACCAACTGGATAGTAGCAAATATAACAACACCAGCTAATTTCTTTCATATTCTTCGACGTCAATTAGCTTTACCATTTCGTAAACCATTGATTGTTATGTCACCAAAGTCAATATTTCGATTACCTGCATGTCGTTCAACATTCGATGAAATGCTACCTGGTAATATATAAATGAAGATTTTTTGTTTACATAAGAATTTATAAATTTAACATTTAGGTACAAGTTTTAAACGTATCTATCCAGAAGAAGGTGTTGCATCAGAAAATCCAGCTGATGTTAAAAAGATTATATTCTGTTCTGGAAAAACTTATTACGACTTAGTTGATGCACGTAAAAACAATCAACTTGAGTCTCAAGTAGCTATTGTACGTATTGAACAAATATGTCCTTTTCCATTCGATTTAATTCGTGAAGAACTTGAAAAATATAAAAATGCAAAATTATGTTTTGCACAAGAAGAACACAAAAACATGGGATCAGTATGTTCATTGATCTGAGTCAAACGTCATAAAACAATAAAAAATTCTTTTTCTAGTATTCATTCTGTAAACCACGTCTTGCTTGCCTTCTCCGGTCTATGAACGACGAACGAGCTGCTGAAGTCAAGTAATTAATTTTTCTTTTAATTTTTTCTTTTCTCTAAACGTTTCTCTATTCTTACAGTAATTGGTAAGTTTATAATCGTATTAAATATTGTACTATTTAGTAATTTAGAACATGTGTTCGCCAATAAGTCTTTTTTCGCATGTTCTTTTCGTGTTCTTCTTTCGAGATTAAGTGTTGTTTTTCTGTCTAGAAAGAAGATTTGCTAATCAAACTCGATTAAAATTCCTTGGCTTTATTAACATAACTAAATGATCTTGGTTTTTCTTTTATTTCAGTTATGCGGGAAGAGATTCAGCAGCGTCAACAGCAGCTGGTATCAAATCAAGTCATTATATGGAACAGAAGACATATATGAAAGAAGCCATGGCTTTTTAAATCACTATCTAACATTATTCCTAGCATATCCTATTAAATTGAATTTGTTTAGTTTTTTTTTCTTTTTTTGTTCACATATCCTTTACTCTTGCGAGGGAAACCAAGAGAAAATAGATTCTACACAATCGAGAAATGTCCCGCTGATGCTTAGAATTATATAAATATGATATTTACATATATAACTTTTATTATTTTCTGTGGTCAAATAAAAAGAAAAAGAAATACAAGTAAGCTGATCATGCTGCCCCATATCGTTCCCATTCATAAATTTAAAAGCTAATCTATCTACAAATAAATCCTGTTGGAAAATACATCTTGTAAAACAAAAATATCGCTCTCTCAGGCAAGATCAAACCAAGCGTAGCCGCAAGAAATACAGAGAGAATAAATATCTGAACAGAAAACTAGACATTGAAATGGCGAACAATTGAACTTTAGCATTTACAAAAGAAAAAGAGAAGAAAAAAAAGTTTCGTATTCGAATTTCGTCTATATTATTTGCTTATTTTAAGTCAGGTGGTTGAAATGGCGATCGAATTTTTATTGTATAACCATTTTCAATAATTTGTGGTGTTGTCGGTTCTGAAAATTCACCTGTAAAACCAAATATTCCAGATGTATCAACAAGAATTTCACGTGGTTTTGATGTTGGTCGAACAATGACACGACTTTTTTCACGTTGGCGTTCAGCAGGACTTGTGTAATAATTTAAAGAATTGCACGCTTTTGATAGGGTACCTGAAGAAAAGTTGCAGATGGAATTAACTAAATGATTTGAATAAAATAGAATTGAGGGAAAAAAATAGCAGAAAGTAATTTTCGAGGTAATATAGGTAATTTTTCGATAGGTCTTCATTATAATTGGACACGTATCAAAAACACAAGGTAAAATTAATTTTTTTTAAATTGCCTTATTAATTATGAATTATATTAAGAGAAGTAATTGTCTCAAAAAAGTATTAAAAGGTACCTGCTTCTGTGAACTCATCGGAACATTAATTTGTGATCGAAAATAAACTAAACAATCATCCAGATTGATTAAAGTCGAGTTCATCTAACCGAATAATCTTTCTAAAATTCTTCCTTTGACATACTCTAGCACTATTCTCATACTAACTACTTCGATTTTCTATCAAGGAAACCAATGTGTTTTGTGTAGCGTCGTTTACTCGGCAAGGACGTTTCTCTTCATTTAAGCGAATAACGACTCGAATGTTTAAAGTGCATATCTAATTTTGATCCTATTAATATTTAACATTCTTTTTTTTTTAGAATTATAACTTAATATATTTTGTTGATACGAGTAAATTCCAAGAGAATTTATAGACATTATAACGAAGGTGTATAGATCCGAAATGGTTTCTCGATTAGTTGTCTCTCTCGTTTTAGAAATATGACTGAGAAAAATAAGAATACATACATTATATTCTTTCTCGATATCAATATTCAATAATCTGTCAATTTTTATATCATTATTTTTTTCATTAGCCGCTAAGCAAACTCAACATAAAATCAGCACTATTGACCCAATTCACAATAAAGATTTGACAGGGAGGGGAATGAAAAAAGTCGAGTCATTCATATTCCACATAAAGAAATATTTACAAAGAACAGAAAAAGTCCTTCAACAAGTTTGATTAATGACATTAATTTTTGGCTTATCAAGGTTCAAATTTTCAAGAACAAGAACTCATTAAAGATATAATGATGATGAAACAAACGAAATCAATTTGTTTAATAAAAGCAAAAGGAATGGCAATGAAGCAGTAGATGACGGCATGCAAACGATAATCAACACGTAAAGAGAGAAAAAAGATAATGAATATATGTGAATATATATATATGAAACCGAAGCATTACCATTGCGAGCATGCATCCGTTGCACGAAATCTTTGTGGTGTCCTTTTTTACTAGCACGATGATACTGTTTTTCGACAAAGCCATCGTCTATGACGAAGATGCACAAAAGCATAGTATAAGCAAATTTATAAAGCAAGATTAAAGTGAAAGAAAGTAAAGAAAGAGAAAACATCAATAAGATGCTAAATAAGAAATTATTATGAATATAAATTATTCAAGGAATGGATGCAATAAATGCTGATAGCTACCATCATAGAAGCGTGAAAGCGGCCGTTTCTTTGATTTTCTATTTTTACTACCTGCTCCGTCTTAAAATTGAAAGTAGAAAAAAAAATGAAATAGATATTAATTGAATGCTTTGTTTTGTTCTCACCTGAACTTGATGCTGAATCACAGCGTACTTTTTCTGTTTTTTCGAATCGTTCGATTACTTGCGTTTCTACATCAAAACAACGATAATACAAATAAATAATTAGAAATTTTCGTTTACCTGTAACACACAAGGGTTTTTTTGGTAAACCGACTGTTGTTGTACCAGCATCTCTCATTTCTGGACGAACTAATAAAAATAACAATTTATTTTAAATAAAAATATTTTTTTAATATATATTCACCTAATTTTGGTGTTGGTGGACGTGGGATATAAAGATCGTGAGTTGATGTTGTTGCATCATGACGAATAGTTCTTGGTGGAGGCGGTGGTGGAGCTGGTTGTTCACGTTCAACTAATCATAAATGCATCAATGTAATGAATACTACTGGAAAGAATAATTTTCTTACTTGGAACAATTCGTTCTGGGGCTTTATTGTAATTGTAATTATATTCAAAATGTTCTTCATGACGCTCATCAACATATTTTGACCAACGATTTTGTCGTTGTTGATGTTGAATATCTCAAAAAAGGAAGTTTTTTTAAATAATTTACTTTGTAAATATTTTATTATCATGATTGATATGACAAGTGATGATAAAATAGAAAACAAGAATGGAAAAATTAAAAAAATATTTACCTGTCGATTCTTTATGTAAGTCAAAACAAGATGAAGGACGTGGTCGTATTTTAACTTGTCGGATAGTTGGTGATGGTGTACGAACAAATGAAACCATACAAGGTGGAGGTGGTGGTGGTCGGCGTTTTGCTTCTTCTATAGTTACTGTTTCTAGTTTTATAATAACAAAAAAATCATTTTTACATTTTACATTAATTAACAATACATTTTCCTTTTATCGTTACCTATTTTTTCGACAAGTATTTCTCTTGAAGCACAACGATTTAAAGCACGACGTGGTGGTGGTGGAGGAGAAAAACAATACGAATTAATATTGGCATTTGGATAGTGTACACCTTTTATGGTTTTTAAACAAAATGAAAACATACATTTAATAGAATGTTTTTTATATTAACATACTATAACACTCTCGTTTATATCGGCGACCTGATGAACGACTTCTATGATGTTGTTGTTGTTGTTGTTGTTGCTGTTGCTGTTGCTGTTGATGTTGATGATGATGATGCTGAAGGTGATTAAGGGATGCAAAATCACTTTCTATACAAGGAATATCATCGAAGAATGATAATCGCTGAGGTTCAAATGGGTCACATGGCTCTGTTAAAACCACTGACAATGGTCGACCGTTATGATAGTGCGAATAACACATATTATTACATTCTTCATCCCATAGATAGCTACCCATTCGACAACTTTTTTGTTGAAACCAATCTAGAGACAAGAAGAAAAAAATCATAATTGCTATTGGTGTAATCAGTATAAAAATTTCGGATGAACTCATGATGAGTTGAATACATGATAGCAGAAGCAAGAATTTACTTGAACATAGCTTTCTAAATTACTCACGGAAATTACAATCCATCTCCCACTGGTACCAGTATCAATTATGGCCTATTATAGTTTTTTAACTAATAATATTTCACAACTGAATAATGACTATATATGATGTTTAGGATAAATTTTACGTAATCTACATGGAAGCAGATAGAAAACAAACAGTGCTTGCAGTTCTTAAAAAAATTGAGAGATAAGAAACAAAAAAAGAAAAAAAAATCAACATTTTTTTCACGATAGTAATATGTTGTTGAAAGGAAAAGCATTCACACACACACACACTCACTCACCCACTCTCTCTCTCACTCTCGCTACCTATGTCTATGTGTTTCTCTTTGAGGTGACATTGAATAAAAAATTGTCGGTGGGAACGCAAATATGTGTAACATATACAATAAGATGTGTTTTTTTTGTGACAGGAAGCACGAGTGCTAACTATGGGAAACACATATTACTCTCCCCGATAATGTTGTCGTGTATGTAAAGTTGATCCGAAGCAAATGTTCTTCTTATTTCTGCGGTTTGCGTATGTTTGTGCTTCATGTATACGGACGTTTTCTTTTTTTTCTTTATTCTTTTTTCTCTCCCTTCTCCTGTCAAAATTTCGTGCTCTTTCCTATAGGAAAATAATCTTTCATATGAATGGCTATTACATGCATTTCTCTTACGAATATATTAATCTAACATTCGATCAATTTTCTCAAGTATGTTTTGAAATTGTGTTAACACGTTGAATCAAGTATAATACGCCACTTATAGTTTTTTTTGCGATGAGCAGACAACAACGTCTGATACAAATTCTTATAGGTATAAATTGATAATCTTTTGAAATGCAATCAAGAGTCTATATGTATATAAGAGCTTAGGATTGTGGTTGCACAGTAAAAACTGAAGGTCTTCATATACAGAAGGTGAGAACCTCGCTATTTGCAAATCAGATCTTTGATTGCCATACAAACGAGAAAAAAATAGACTTTGCCCGATTTATTTTATCATTTAAATTTATAGCTGCTGTTATTGTTTACTTCAAATAGCAGTCGAGCTAGACGCCAAAAACCCTAACCTTATCATTCGTGTATATTTTCTCTTTCATTTTTTATTTCTCTTCCCACGCTAATACTCCGCACATTGATTCTTTTCACTTTGATTCGATTCTTTTTCTTTACAAAGAGATAAGCGTTTATTATTCTCTCGTTTGCTCTTTCTTTTTCTCTCTCTTTACTGACAAATATGTACATGGTACTCATCAAATTCACCTTCAAAAAAGTATCTACAATAATATCAAAACATGCATGATAATCACTATTGTAATTCAGGTGTGTGTATTTAGTGACAATAAGGAAAAGATAATGCCAAACAACCCACGTACCTGGTCTGTATGACGACGACGGCTTTTGATGTCGAGACATTTCTTCTTGAAAATTAACAAACGAAACGAGAAGAGAGGACCTTGTTATGTCTCTTTTCTTCTTTTTCTATTTACTTGCAGATTGAGAATGAAGAGAAGAAAAAAGAAAGCGAAAGTTATGATCGCTTTCGGTAGAGAGATCAGTGTTCGCTGATTGTGGGTGTATGAATATTAAATGTATGTTTAAGTTGCTTCAATATCGATTTTGATAAATATCTTTGTTCTTCTTGCTTGCTTTTTTTAGTGTCCGATCATTTTTGTTTAAATGAACGTATGCATTCGTTTATGCTTAGAATTCGTTATGATTGATTTTACATATAAATGAATAAGCACTTTTCAAAGTCTTCTTCGATCTTTTTTCCTGATTGGATAAACAATTAACGGCAGCCATACTTTCAATTTTCATCACTATTACATTCATATGTCTTTCAATTTGATCAAAAATAAAACAAACTAGCTATGAGCAACTTAGTAATATATTCAAGTTGTTACTTGATTATGACATAAAATATTTCAAGGTTGTATGTGCATTTATGTTATGTCCGTAGATATTTGTAAGAGTTTTTATAGAGCTATTTCAATGTTGTCATGGATTGAATAACACCTGAGAAAATAAAAAACAGCATAGAACAAATTTATTTCTCATAAATAAAATAGACACAATATCATGCCCATGGGATGATGAATGCGTTATACGATGAACAAATATTTTATCAGTTGACATTGATTTAAGACATTTTTTAAAAGGTAAAAGAAAAAGTTTTGATCTTATTTTCTATGATAAGAAAATCAAGAAGAAACTGATTCTCTGACAAAACATAATTAATAGAAATATTTTAACAAACATAATCAAAATACTTCATTTTTTTTTGCTTTTATTCATGTGGTAACTAATAGATCAATTCTCAAGCAAGCAGAAATTTTGCGTCTAGAGGAAATCATTCTATTTCGGGTTACGTCTTTATAGTGACAAAAAAAAACTACGTCTCGCTTGAATTCTAAATGAAGTCATTAAAATATTAACAAAGTAGATCAAGCATGCATTTTACTTACGGGTAGAAAAAAAATGACTATGAATTGAATCTTCTAAAAAAGAAAATATTGTCTAAGGTAGAAATTAGGATTTATCGAAAAATGAAATTATCAGTACGCAAAAGTCAACATTCTCATGTTTCAATATATAAATTTCCATTCAAAATCTTTACCTTTTGCTCTACTCTCTCTAATAAATAAATAAACACATTAGTTAGGTAAGAATTTTGAAGCATTTCATTTCTTCCCACTTAAAAAATTTTCCGAGTGAACAATATTTTTAGGAGAAAAACTAACGACCGATGAAGTAGAAATTTCTTAGAATAACGAATGCTTCATTGTTGTTATTTTTCTTCCTCTTCTTTTTCTTTCAATAAAATTTCCTTCACGAGTGTGATCAAAGCTGAGCATAATACATCTTGAATTTCCACTTATATACTGAACAGCATAAAATGTAAAGTATATTTACGCGTTTGCAATTAATTTCTTCCGTCCATGATAAAAACGCATGTTAGTAAGAAATTCAAGATCCAGAAAATTGATTAAATTTTTTTCTTCAAACCACACATCATAACATTCCAATTTATTTTAATTCATCTCTATTCTTTTGTATGTGGTCAAATAGAAGTGTTGTATAACAAAAGGAAAAAAATAGAAATACATTTCTGTTTGAATGTTTAAGTACAACAAATAAAAGATAAGCGAAAAAGAAAAAAAAGAAGAAAAAAAAATTAAATGAAGTTATGCGATCAAGGAAAAGAGAAAAAATATCAATTCGTCTACCACAAAGGAGAAGAAAGAAAAAGGTTGCTATTGCGCGGTAGGATGAAACCGATTTGTACAACAGATCAATCGGTAGACGAGTCAACGAGAACGAACAAGATAATAATTTGAAGATCATTTATAAGAACAAAGAAAGAAAAATTTAATTAATAACGTGTCACTAATAATGAGGATTGAGATCACTGCCAGCCATTTCTAAACCTTCACCTAATTTATAAACATATACTTTATAATCTTTCGATGCCATTGCTAATTCATCATTATATCCAACAGCAACATCGAAACATTGAGAATGTTTCATAAGCTAAAAAAAAGCAAAAGAAAATTATGATATTAAAAATTAAGAATTGATTTTTGTCGTTGCAAAAAATTCTTACTGAATAATGCGAATATTTTCTATTTCCATCATAATCATATGTTGTTATATTAAAATTTTCATGATTATCAACAACAATAAGTTCACGCCGTGGTTGATTCTAAAAATAAAATATAAAGAATTTATTAGTGAGAAAAAGAAGTAAATTAATGACGAAAAAAACTTACAATTCGGCATGCTATTGGATATGTGATTCCAGCTCCGATATTTTTCAAATGTTTACCATTATAATCAAATACTCGAACAAAATGTGATTCATTATCGCTAACATAGAGTTCGTGTCGATCATTGACACAGACACTTGTCGGAAAACTCAAATGATCGCGTAAATCACATTGACCCCATAAACGACCTGATGTTGGATCATATATATGCACTAAAATTAAATAGAAATTATTTCTAGTTATAGAAAAATTCATATTTCTTACCTTTCATTATTTTCGATTCAATAACAATAATTCGACCCTGTTGATCGATACAAATAGCTCTTGGACTTTCAAGATCATTACCGAATCGTCGAATAAATTGGCCATTTCGATCAAATATTTGTATCATTGGTCGTGGTGAACGTTGTACCATAACAAGCTAAATTGATATTTATTAATCGAGATTTGCTTTTCTACTATTTCAACAACTCTTGATCTTACTAAATCATGTCCAGGCAAAACAGCAATACGATATGGATAAAGTAATGCACCAGGTCTTGTTCCAGCTTGACCAAATTTCAGCACACATTCTCGTCGAACAGGATCAAAAAGTTTAATTTGACTCGAATTAGTATCAACCACAGAAATGGTACCATCCGAAAGGAAAGCAATACCATTCGGTTCAAGAAATTCATGAATACCACGGCCATAGCCACCGAATTTATATTCATCTAATTAAAAACAAAATTCATATAGTAATCGTTTTCTCAATGGTTGTTTCTATTTTATACATGAAGTAGAATATCTTAATGATGTTTGATTATGAGATCGAGATACGCGACGTTGTGATTGATCATTAGTCGATCGACTAATTATTGGTTGAGAATTTGTTATTAAGCCTCTCTCATTTTCCATATGAAATTCAGCTGCCGATGGATCCAGTATTGAAGAATGTTTCAATCGATGAGTAAATGGCGATGGTTCATATGAATGATAACCACTTGTACTAGCAAATAAATCATTTGTCGATGACCCAGTTAATGCTTCTAAAAAACAAACAATTGGCTCTTATTTTTACTTCACAAGGAAATTTTTATCTTTTTTTCTTTTACCAAAAGTAATTCCAGCTTGTTCAATAATTGAAAGAATTTCATCATGATTTCCATCAATACTTGTACAAGCATTTCCTGTTAGTGCATCAAGTGACGATGATTCATTTAAACTTGTATTCGCACTACTATGACGAAGTAAATAATTATTATTTATCGACGATGGATTAAGCATATGAGATCGATTCGGTTCAAATAATTCTCGACATTCTGTCCATGCATCATTTTCATTTTCATCATTATCAATTCTTATCACTGGTGCACCTAAAGAAAACGAAGAAATTCTTTTTATTTTTTTATTTTTAAATAAATAAAAAGATTTTTGCTTACCACTAAGTAATTTCCATCGACAATCATCATCGACAATATCATTGAGTTGAAACTTTTTATTAGTTACATCCGAAAAATGTTTACGGATAGGTGATGAACAAGGATTCATAGTAGATTTGATTTCACTCATTATATTTACTGGTATCGAACACTCACTCATACAATACAAACGCTCACGCCGACAACTTGTGTAATATGTACAATAAATAAATAAAAGACACAAAAGAGGAAAAATTAAAAGAAATGACGATCCGACTGATCGTAACGAAGAACAATGATTATATGAAAATAGTCGAAAATTTACATTTGAAATTTTCGATTGTTTTTTTGTTTCCCTAAAAAGTAAAGAACGATCTAGGGTATTGAATCATTTAGGAATGTATGTACATTATGGACGATAGGAAAGATGCTATGATTTAATATGATTCGTCATGTCTAGAATATACGTATGAACAGGGCATTGTATAAAAAGGTGATTGTCTGATCGAACGCAGACAGAGAGAACGGGAGAAAATCCAACCACGTGATATGACCAACTGTTTATAAATTCCATGAACTGGTTTTGAGAAAGTTTTTCTTCGACTTTCATTTGGTTTAAATCATAGAATCATGTAGCTATCTATCGTAAATTTCTGTTAGTTGAAAATATAATAGGAAAATCGCTACGCGACTTTTATAATAGTTTTATTTGTTGTAAGTTGAATATAGGCTCCGAATAATTTTACTGTTTACCCTATCATGAAGTAGATTATTTTCTATTCAGACAAACTTTTTCTAATATCCAGTGAAATTTTATCACGTGTCTACCATCAATGGTACGCCAAACGGTCGTTTTGGCAATGTGTATTTTTCTTATGAAGAATTTTATTTACTTATGAAAATTTATTTCTCTATAATTTGATGTCAAATAATTGAACCGAAATGAAACTCAACTCTTTTCATTCATCACATCTTACTAAGATTATTACATACAGTAATATATGTAAAGATTAAAATGAATATACTATTTTAACAATCGAAATACAACAATAGATCTCAATGAGTGCAAGAAAACAAAATTCTACCTCGATGAAGTTCATAGTAAGTTGAGACTATTTGCTGAATCTTCCGAACGAATAAATCTCAAATGTAATTCTACAATAAATATTCCTATTTGCAATATTTCAAAATTGTATCATGACGATAGGTATCTATTTATTTTCACGAATGTAATTATAACAGATATAATATATTACCTTGTTTGTAAAGTAGGTTAGTGCAAAATTAAAATTCTGAATTTGATACAATTCTCCATGAATGTATCCATTTTATATTAGAATTTGCTCTTATCATCGTCGTAGCTGTCATGACAAATATCCATTAGTAATCTAATTAAAGATCAATACAACTAAACTTATGTCGCAGTCGTTTTTCTCATTCCAACAGATGTTCAAAATAAGTAAAAAAGTTTAGATATAAAAAGCTCGTTACTAAACAAAACAACAATAGGTCAAATAAATATTAGTTTAACGTCATTAACAGATTCAAATAGTTCGTCGATATCCTATTGAATTTTGCCATCGGATTATTTTCTAAATAAATTTTTTCTTCTGTCTATCACAAAATGAATCCATTTAAATATATTTAGAATCATGTGAAAAGGTTACTATTTAAAAAATAAATTAAAATTTATATTAAGGTCATTTTATGTGTAAAACAAGACTGAAACTTATCATTCATATTTAATCAATTATATAAGAATTTAATGTTTCGTTTTCTCTCTCTCTCTCTCGCTCTATAGCGACGTACATAGGACGAGAATTTTACTAATTCGAAGAAGAATGAAAGAAGAAAAATATTTGAGCATACATACTGTTTTTTTTCTTCTTCTTCTTCATCATCATCTTTCATTCTTATTCATGGAACTCTATTTAAAAGAATTGATTGATGTACATAAAAAGAACAATAATGTCTACATTTACGTTGATTTTCGTGGTGAAACACTTTTATTCAACGCATGTGATATTAAAAAATATAGTGAAATAGAACAACGTCAAATAATTGAACGTTTCTTTTTTAAATACATCGATTTAATATCCGATCCAATATTGTTTGAAATAATTCTTGATCATCTCTATGCTGGAGATTATATTTTTCTTTCTGCAAATACGAAATCTTATCTATTTGAAACACTTGAACTTTGTCCACCAAAACAGTATCTTTCATGGATATATAAAATTCTTGACAATGAAGGAGAAATGTCGAAAATTAATATTCAAGCATTTACAACTTATGTTGATATGAAACGAAAACGTGGTTTAACAAATGGAGAAATACGTTATACAATGGTATGTGAATCATCAACAACATTGTTGGAATTGATTTTAAGTAAAGTTTATCGCGATCGTTTAACATCAAAACAAACATGGTTAGCAATATTTCGGCTAAAACAAGCTTTATCAATGACAAGTTTACAAAAAGATATGTTTAACGAATGGCTTGGTGTTGTTTAGTTTTTGAAAATACCAGAATTATTATCTTAAAAATGATTCATATAAAGTCCAAGCTGTTGCAGCTACTAGTGTACGACGAACTGCTCGAATAAGAAAGCCACTCGCAAAGCCAATTAAACCATAAGTCTATTTCAAATAAAAGCTTGTTTGCAAATAAGAAAGAATTCAGTGACATTTACTTGAAAAATATATTTAATTGTCATATGCACATTTCGATAATCTGTTGGAGCTACTTGTCGATATGTTTTAATAACATCAGCTGGTTGAGTTATAAATGAAGCAATTAAACCAGCTGTAACACTTATCGAAGCTTGAGATGTTAGCCAATTTGTATTTGATGGACTATCTGAATTCGTTTTCGACTGAAAATCATTCGAAAATTAAAAAGTCAAGTTTCTTACCCATATCATTTGAAAATATATCTTTTAATTTACGATATGACATATAATAAATACCGGAAAAGGGAAGATCACGAGCTAAAGTCGGTAGAAGACCAGTGTAAAAACCTAAAAGAGAATCGATTATAGATAAATATTCAAGTATGACTTCGTGAAATAAAGTTTAAAATGAACTCCACAGACTTCTGCTATCAGAAATATGGTTCCTCTTTTTCGCAATATTGATACACAATAATATTCAAATAAAACCAACCTTGTAAACCATGTACTGAGTATACATGTCGAATTATAGAAATCATATTCATTGTTGTAAACCGGGAGCTCTAAACATTGATATGTCCTTTTGGTATTTCATTGAAATAAGATATTGAACCCTACTTCAAGTCTAACTTTGATTAATGTAAATGGAAAAACAAGCAAATCAGCTGCACCTCGAGCGACAGCACCGCAAATTCCATTGACAAAAAGAGTTTGTTGAGCTTTTCTAACAAACAAGCAAAAACATTATTACTAATAGATAATTAAAAAAGCGTCTTCTTACGGAATTTTTTCTTTTAGCGAATTGAGCAAATGAAAATAAAGAGAACTACCAGGTACAGCACGAAATAAGGACTACCATAAAAAAAAATATCTGAGATAATCAATCGTAATTTTCATTCTACAATATCCAACCGGTGTTAGACCACGCCATAGACGGAATGTTGAATATTGTTGCATAGTATGTTTTGCTATTAATCCAATTGATCGTTTGGATATTCTAAATACAAAAAAACAAACAAGCAGATATATACTTCTATAAGTACATTGTATAGATCTTTACCCATTTTTTGGTTCTTGTATTTGAGTTTTAAGAAAGTCTAATGGTTGATATAATGTTGTTGTTATAAACGCACTAGTAGCACCAGCAATCAACGGATGTAAACTTGGTGATAATACTGAACTACATAAATTAATTAATATTCATTTCTTTCGAAACTTTATCAAACTCCCTTTTTACTCACCTTGTACTCATTTTATCACATCTAAAAATCGGTAAAAAGATCAATTTCAATAGTGTGATTTGTTTTTATTATAACATTTAAAAAAAACATATAAAGTTGACAGAAAAAAGAACAATTTTAACATAAAGCTAACGGTAATTCTCTTTTTTTACTGATTTAATGATGGTTGTTCAGTTGAATCTGAAGTAAATTAGTTGGCACGTTTCGTATCGATGTCAAAGATGAATAATTATCTTGATTAATTACTTGTTTTCTCTATAAAATTATACACAAGATAATTAATGTGGAAAACAAGAAAATAAAAGCTGATTACCTGCATTGCTACTATTAATCGAAAATCGCTCGTTTAAGCTTTTGTAAAAATCCATCTTTTTCTTTTGGTTTCTCTTCTAGAAATAAGTTCGAATATATATATATATATATTTGAATTAATTACCTGATGCCGTCTTAGATGAACCATTAACTGTCCCATCTTTATTTTTATCAAGTTCAGCAAAAGATAACATTAACGCTTTTTGTTCCGGTGTTAATCGTCTAGATAAATAACAAGATTGAAAAAAAATTCTTTTTCATTGATTGATAATACAAAGTAACATACATGGGAATTTTTATTTTAACATGAACATAATGATCACCGGTTCCTTGACCATTGAGTCGTTTAACACCTTTGCCAATTAGACGAAAACGTTGATGAGATTGCGTACCAGATGGGATCTAACATGCATACAGATGTATCTCTTGTGTGAAAAATAATAAAACATTCTTACGTCTAAGGCATGATCTTCATATATGCCTGGTACTTTCACTTTTCCACCAAGTGCTGCCATACTAATAGAAATGTCTATATCACTATGAATATCCTCTCCTTCTCTTCGAAATCGGTCACTTGGTTTAACACGAAATGTGACAAATATTTCCGATACACCGAGATTAACTCTCATTGATTGTCCATCTTCCACACCTTAGAAAAAAAGAAGAAAGAAAAATAATATTTTCAAAGAATTTTATTAAGAAAATTTACCGGCTGGAATTGGTATCGTTATGAATTTTTTTTGTATAGTTTGTCCTTTTCCTGAACATTCATAGCATGGTTTTGCAATTGTTTCCCGTCGACCATGACATGTTCGACAAGTAGCACGTAGAAAGAATGGACCAGTTTCGATTGTTTCCATTCCTGACCCATTACATGTTCGGCAAGGTTGCGGTTGAGTACCAACAGCACATCGAGTGCCTCTACACGTTGGACATGCATCAACAACGCGTACATTAACATCTTTATTGCAACCACGAACTGCTTCTTGAAATGTTAAATCAAGGGCCAACTATTTAATTGAAAAACATTCAATAGATTGAAAATAAAAATCTAAGACTCTTACTTGAGTTATACCTTGTTTACCCAATTTATTCTCATCAGGATCATCCATCCAATCATGATTAGCAAAACCACCTCGACTGAATGCTTCACCAAAGATTCTTCGAAATAATTCTTCTGGATCAACTTGAGACTGATAATATTCATAGCCACGAAAACCACCCTGACTGGCACCAGTTGGTCGACCACCAGAACTACTAGTTGACTGTGATTCTTGACCAGAACTAAATGGATCACCGCCCATACCATAAGTATCATAATTTTTCCGTTTAGTTTCATCACTTAATACTTCATAAGCTTCTGAAACTTCTTGAAATTTCTTTGTTGTTGCTGCATCTTTCTTATCTGTTGTATCAGGGTGATATTCTTTTGCTAACTAAACAGTAAATAGTCATATTAATTCATTATTAGCTCATGAAAGTATTACGAACTTTATAATAAGCTTTTTTTACATCTTTTGCTGTCGCACTTTTCGGTATACCTAATACTTCATAATAATCCTTTTTGTCTCGTTTACTCGATGTATGAAATGATCGTGTATGTAATTCAGGAAAAACTAGAACAAAACATGATTGAATGATAATATGGCAACGTCAAAAAGTGGCATACCTGGAGCTAATTTCAAGGTTGTTCCATATGAAATATTACACGAATGAGTTTGAAAAGTGTAACTAGAGATGCCGCAGATTGATGACAACCATGACTTTGACACTAGACTTGATAGAGAACATCTGGCGAAATATTTAGAAACCAGTGGAGATAAAAGAATCGTACAATTCGAGCGCACAAGCATTCGAATGAGGATCAAGAGTGGAATAATAAACTATAAAAAAAAAAATATATA